AGGGAATGCTGAATAAGGGATTTGCGTATACTTTATCTGAAGTCACTTGAAATAGCATAAAAACCTTTGGTCGGCGCGTCCTTTGTAATTTCATGACGTATCATAGGCGTGCGGTGATTTATTTAGAACGATAATAATAATGTTTTATATCACAATAAATGGATTTTACTATCTTCTTATTTTTTTGATTTGGGATAAAAAATACTGATATTGGGAGTTTAATTTATGTTGACTGAAAGTTAAGAAATGGAAAAATTACAGAATTCCAACGTTTGACATAGGCAAATATTTACATAGCAGGTAGGTATATAAAGACTTACATTATAGGTATTTATATATCATCCTCGCCTTCGGAGCTGTCGCTAGAGTCATCTTGTAGAGGAATTACAACGGGATTTACAGGAGGCAAAACACAATATTCATTTTCTTTTTCAATAATATGCCTAGAACACTGCTTCCATAGGTCTGTGGCAGCAATATGAGATACTGCATCTCTTATTGTGGCCAATAGCGATTCACTTAATTGAGGGGTCTGATTATGTTTTCTTACTTTTTTTTTAAAGCAGCCCAGACCAACTCAATCGGGTTAAAAATGCAGTAATAGGGAGGTAGACGTAATACTTCATGGCCATTTTGCTGAAGCAGATTGTCAACAACATACTCTTTTTCAAATTTTTGTCTTTTAATAAGAGCCAATAATATGGCTTTGGTTGATTTTTGTGGTATTTCCATTCCCTTATCCTTCATAAAATCAATAATGTCTTGTTTTTTTGTGCCTGTATTCGGAATTTTGTTTTTCTGTCGGGAATGGTATGGCGCATTGTCCATAATAATCACTGAATTTGGGGAAATGTTTGGTATTAACTGCTGCTCTATCCACTTTTCAAATAAGTCGGAGGTCATGTCCTCATGATAGTCGGCACATGATTCTTTGACATTTTTGGCAGATAACAGCAAGGCATTAGGTATAAATCCATTTTCACTGCCAGCATGGAGAATAATGATTCGTTTTCCACGGTTGCATGGTGCATTTAAAATGCACTTGTTGCTGTCGTCAACCCAGCCGTACTGCACAACATCATGGGTATCATACCACGTTTCATCCAGGTAAATCAGATTTCTTTCTGCTCTCTATAGATTTTAACTTTGTGCAAAAATTCTTGGCGCAATTCAACGATTCGAGACGACTCCATAATGACCATTCTTTTATCTAATTTTTTGTATTGAAAACCACACAGTTTTACAATACAGTGCAGTGAGTCTAAGCATTTGTAATTTTAAAAATCTTCAGGATAATCTTTTAATTTATCCCGTATTATTTCCAACGTGGGCACCAAATTTTCTTTATAAAATCCGTATATTATACGACGAATATCTTCCTGAAAACCCACGTCTATTCTTTTTAATTTTTGCCCTATGCGCTTTCTGTGGAAGGAATGGTTGACTACATCTCCCCTTTTTATAACCCGATAAATGGTAGACCGACTGATTTTTGTCAGGATACAAATTCTGTTTAAAATTTGATTTTGCGAGGAATCTGGATTTTCGTTTTTCAGACAATCATACATATTTAGGATTACTCTTTGGGTCTGTTCCTCTAAATCTTTATGAAAGAATTCTGCCTGCACAGGTTCATCAACCATCTCCTCGTGGCTTGGAGCATTTTCCCAAAGTCTCCAAAGAGCCATATTTAGGACACACAAGAACAATCAACACAACAATTAAATCAACAAGTAAACTGAGTATTCAAAAGTCAAAAACACACAAACTAATAAAATCTATGAAAAAACACGGACAGACTAAAGAAAACACGTTTATTCACCGCTACACGGCACTGGCTAAACTGTTTCAATTTTCAGTAGCCACCTGCACTTGTTCGGAGCTCTGAAATACACGCTTTCTCATTGGCTATGTCCACGCATAAGCGTGCTTTACTCCACGTGGACCGGTGAAACTGCCTTTGATCTTATACGGGGGATATTTGCTGCGAAATTTGGCGATTTTTGCAGCAACAGAGCGTGTTAAATATAGATATATAAAACGCACCCGGTATTTCACAGTGTTTCAAGTGACTTCAGATAAAGTATACACAATTATAAGCAACCCAATTCCACGTCTTTTGTGTGCCAGACTGCCCAAGTGTACGCTTATGCATGAGTGGTATGGGGCATAAAACTACATAGATTTCATAAAATTATTTTTTTAGTTTTATTTTTGGTTCCAGCTCTTTTTTGGTAAAAAAAATTCGTGGAGAATGAAGACGGTAGAAATACCGAAAAATCGAGATTCGGCAACACTGGTCGGAGGTGAAATGCCCCTGACTTATTCCTACATACCTATATATAGAGAAAAGACAGGTAAGAGGTTAATACTCTGTATGTACCAAGTGATGACTCATACAGATAGATCACCTTATACACATCATATGTTTTACGTGTTCCATCTATGATTCTGACGCAATAATGAAAAATTATAAATCAACACACCTGAACTGACCTAAACTCAAAAATAGGCGTACAATCAATCATTGTGAAATAACAGTAACAGTTTATCAAAAACACAATGCTCATAATTTAGATTCCATGTTTTCATTAGAATTCCAAAATATAAAACGAGTATACTTGCGTAGAATGTTCAGGGTCGTTACCCACATACGCGATCATATACATTTTAAATGAACTTGTATTAAACTTACTGGGTGGCCCAGAATTGTTTGAAACATGTAAAACCACAGAATATTCTGAAATGGGATAACAATGTATACTGGTATAAACCTCACTATACCACTCAACGTTTTGCGTTGATTACATATCGAAAATATTTAAATAATACATATTAAAATTAATCTCTTGTATGGAACACAGATTTCATCATAACATTTGTTTGTCTATGCGCTGATCAATGCTGAAAAGATCAATAATTGTGAGTTGTTTATAAGTTTTAGGAAACAAATTAAATGGATTTTAGCCCTTTTGGTGACAGAAAAGCTATGTGTCAAAAGAATTATGATTCTAAATAATTACCAAGATACAATCTGTTAAATATGTAATTATAAAATTGAGAAATATTATATCTGGTGTGGATAAAGGTATACAACTAAAATTTTCTACAATAATACAATTCTATGATTAGTATATAAAAAAGCATTGACCCAAATTGCTCCATTGGTGAAGAAACTAGGATATTCGACCACTACTAAAGAAAAATATTGTTGCCGCCACTGACTTTTCCGAAACATTTATTGTATCATTGATTAAGGTATTTAATTTTACCAAAATTGTCTCTCCCGTGAATTTTTCTTACGCCACTCCTTTTGGAGTTTGAATATTTCAAGTGAAAGCCATGTAAAAACAAATCAATTCTACTTTGAATATATGGTAGAGTTATTGAAGTTTGACAATGAAAATTGTATGTATTAGATTAGAGAAGTAATGCCACCTGATCATTATTCAAAGAGTATTCACTACATCCTGTATATATAATGTGATATTTTCGGATCTGTTTATAGGCATTTTTATGCTGTTTTTGAATGTAGGTACTTTGTGCTTTGGCAATATCTTCATGTTTTTTGCAAGATAGTATTTGGGGGGGCTCAAGCTCCACAGCCTTACACATTTTTCTTTATAAAAAAATAGCATTTGTCTTAATAAATCTAGGAATTGAATATTTTGTAATGAAAATAAGTAAAAAATGAATAGTTGGAAAGCTTTTCTCTGAAAATTGAAGAGCTGATTAACAGAGCAGCACTTCTGATTGCGAGTGCCAACAATTGAAATTGAACAATGTGGAGGCCTTCATATACCCCATATCAATTATTTATTGGATTAGAATACCTGAGCATCTAGGGGAGCTCACAGCTTTGTGACACACCTCAAAACAATGAGAAAAATTAGCATTTTGAAAAAAAATGAATTAAAACGAATAGCCATGTAAGTAAAAGTATGGGAGAAATGAGTCTGTGGACACCCATCTGAGGCCACCAAAACTTTTTCCTAGATACACCAGAGGCTTTTTGGGCCACCATGTACAGTTATTATATTTTACAATGAAAATGCATTTTGGTAAATGAAACATATTCATGATAATACTTTCTCAAAGCTAAGTCAGAAACTGTAAATTATCAATAGCCATATTAGGATAGCAATCCCATCATGAGGCTATTACTTTCCTTTCTTTTTCTTATCCCTCCTAGGATTTGGAACATTTTATATTCATGCTTTGAGTCACTATTTTTTTGGTTTCAACTATTTGGCTTGGGGCTCAATGAAACAATATTGCTACTTCATGAACTAAGTAGTCTTTAAAGCTGATGGATATGACTAGAAAGTTCCATTAAATAAATTTGGGTTAGCCTCCCTGCATAACCAACATAAAACATAGGCCAATTATTCATCAGAATTCATCTTTTGTATGCATGCAAATATGGTGCAAATACAAACTTGCTCAAACTTTAATGAAATTTGTAATTTGTGTGATATATTTAATTTTACTTTTAGGAATCTTAAAAGTAACCTTAGGGAGTTGTCATTAGTTAATTATTACCTTTTAAATAGATCATGTATGTTGGGTAATGAATGATATTATTATTATTATATTATATATTTTGCATAGGGGCATAGCATTGCCCTTATTCAATTATACCCTCATATGTTCAGTGGGAGCATAGAGCAAATTTTAATAACATGGCATTTTCATTTACAATTGAATTATCAAAAATCTATAATCCATGAGGTTAAACTCAACAGTTAGTCAAAGTTTTGTTTACTTTGATTTTCTTCTTTAGCTTAAAACTGAATCAGTGCTCAAAATAATAATAAAATGTGTTTATTATAGCTCACAACGGAACTGTGAGGTGTGCTACCTAAAAAACAGTCCTCTTTTTAAGAAAATCCTCCCTTGCCTAATAAAAAGCCATTCACATGTTACTAAAATATTTGTGCCATCTGCACATAAATACTAATTTTAAGAATGTCAATCTACAATGAGCTTGAAAATAAAAGTTATTTCTTAGAGTCTAAGCTTACCTCTTGAGTTAAGCCGATTCCATCACTGGTTGGTGAAGAACCAGCTTCAGCATTGTTCTCTGTTGCATTGGTAGGAGGTGGAGTTGGAGGAATAGGGGCTGGAGCAGGTTCTGGTGTTGTCACTGCTGCAGTCCTTTCGATATTAAGTAAATATGTAGTTACATCAGGGTGTCTAAAGTGTCTGTTAAATCTTCCTAGGGAATGCACATCAGCGAACAAGTCTCTTTCATAGTTTAGTAGCACAGAGTCTAGGCTTTTTGGATTAACATAATGAGATCTTAATACTGCAGGAGTTATTTGTTGCCAGCTAGTTCCATTGTCAAAGTCCAAAGTGTTTACGCCATCGTACAGATCCAATTCTTGGAAAGGGTCATTGTTGACCCTTAGTAGACTTAGAAGGAGAGCAAGCTGCAGCAATTCTTCTCTGTAGACTTTCTTGAAGGATAACATTTTAATACTGAGTTTATAAGGTTGGTCTAAGTAATACCTAACCTAAAAATTCGTTGTTTGTAAATAATATTTCACTAGGAAACAGGTCCGCCACATGTCAGAAAAAGGCAAACGAAACTGAGTTTCACTTAAACTCCAACAGTCTTCAGAAATAATTTCACTTTATAAACATGCAAACAACCTCTCGATCAGCTGATGAACTCACTGCAAAATGACAGAGCGTGCCGGCAAGCAAGTACCACGGCACACAACACTTTTATCAGTCAGACAGGTGAATGATAAAAACCTTGTTTTTCGCGGGATGCCGCAAAAACCATTTTTTAACAATTTCTCGCACCTAAACGCACTTATTGATGAAGAATAAAGTCGCACAATACCTTGCTGGTTACTACACAATATTCACAAACGCAACTATAGGTACACCTATTCAATTTATTTGAACCAGTACAGCGAATATCGTAAACGCGATAAGCAATGTTTGAAATGTGCGCTGACGAATATGTACCTATGTCATATGGTAGAAAATCGTATGTGGGCTTGCGAAGCAGATTCTCCTTTGTCCGCTATGTTGCGTATTTCGTAAATAACAAAGAAAACATATTTTTAGTCAGAATGAAAATTCGCTGATTGGATAGAGACAGAAAACGTTTACGTCTGCTGCGTTTGTTTTTTTTATTTAAAATTTAAAAACAACAGCAGATTGGATTTGCTTTCACAATAATTGCAATAATTGCATCATTATGACTAACATAGTCATATTTCATAGATAGTCAGGAAAACTTATCCAGTGTTTTTATGCAGAAATTCAGTATATTTATCGTTTTGTTATTGTTTTTTTTTATTATTAGACGTAGTTTCCTATTATTTCTATTTTCATTGCCTGCGACGGAAAATGTTTGAAATCAACAAATCGTAGCTGTATTTTTTGAAAATTGATGAACGTCCAGGTATAACTTCTATCAACTACAGCCCGAACATAGACGTGCCTAATCTGAAAGAGGGGTTACGGTTAAGTGAGGACGGTTAAATACAATAGGGTGGATGTACCAGTAACCCAAACACCAGTAGTCAGACAAATGTTATATTATTGGTAAAAACTTGAATACTTCAAATCCTATTCTTGCTGGTAATTGGTACCAGATTTATCAAATGATTTGTGACAGTACAAAAATTTCACATTCACAGTTGTCACGTTGACAGCAGTATTAGCACGTCAAAAACGACATGCACTCGATTCTTCATTTTTTGTCAGTTGCGTAGTGAGTGACAAACTTTAAAGGCAAGTTGAATCGTTAGCTGACAGGGTGTCTGCGAACGGTTGGGAAATCTCGAAACTGGAGATACTACATACCAAAATATGTGAACTGACCTAAGCATACCTTAATAAAAATGCTGATGGTTTGCGAGAGATGCTTATTTGCTTGAGAAGTATTTCAGATTTTGGAATAAAACACAGTATAGGGAGGTATTCTAGTATGAGAAACATGAATCCGTTATTTTTTATGGCCAAACTTCTAGAGGGAGCCACTTACAGCACTATTTCGGTAAATAACTTATCAGAACCTTTTTGTGCTACCCTGTATAATAATAATAATTTATTGATGTCAATACACAGAAAGTGTTTACACAAGTCAATATATACTCATCGAACGCTTAGAAAAATCTACATCAAACATGAATAAAACAAGTTAAAAAACAATGCAATGCTGCGTAACGCATAATTACCAAAAGCAAATTGAAAAAAAAAACAATACAAAAATGTCATGAGATAAAAGAAGATCGCTAAGAAAAATATATGTATAATACAATTAACTATACACATACAGACAAACAAAACAATAACAACTGTACATAAGTTGGAGACAGAAATGAATAAATAAACATTTAAGGTATATCAGTAAAGTCATTTGCCAAATATTCGTCCGTGCTAAAGAATGCGTTTTTTATTAAATAATACTTTAGTTTCCTATGAAAAACACCAATATCCAATGTTTTTATATTGTTGGGTAGCACATTAAAAAATTTAATGCCATAAAAGTTTGTTCCAACTCTTGATTTTTCTAGACGGTAGTTATTATGGCAAATGTTGTTTCTATTTCGTGTTTCATATTTGTGGTTATCACTATGAGTGGGGAAGGTACTAATGTTAGTTTTGATATATATGAGACAACTCAAAATATACGCGCATGGAATGGTCAGTATGGCCAATTTAATGAATTCAGCCTTGCAGGGGTCTCTATATTTCAAACCAGAAATGTATCGTATACAACGCCTTTGCATGCCAAACACTTTTTGCATATGTGGAGAGTGTCCCCAGACCAAAATTGCATATGTCATTTTAGAGTGGAAATATGCATGATAAGCAGTTAATAAAACTTTATCAGATACTCTATCCTTTAGACTACGTATGAGATATATAACTCTGGACAAACGATCCACCACACAGCGAGTATGCACCTCCCATGTCAGAGTACAGTCAATATGAACGCCTAGCAATTTCACTGTTTGAGCAGAATCCAACTCATGACTGCGTAAGCTTAGTATTATAGACTGACTTTTATCAATGTTGAGCAATAGCATATTGGCAGCGAACCAATCCTCAAGGTCCGACTTACACAATGAACTAGTATCGACAAGGGTGTTTACATATTTATTGGAATTTACCAAGGTAGTGTCATCAGCATATAAGAACAAAGCAGCATTGTGCGTATCTGACAGGCTATTGGGGATATCATTAATGTATAATAAAAACAGCAGTGGTCCCAGTACGGAACCCTGAGGAACTCCATGGATCACTGATCTGGTATCAGAGTTACAGCCATTGAAATGTACTAGTTGTTTTCTGTCGGATAAGTAAGAGTCTAAAATTTTGATGCTAGAAGGATGAATGTGATAATAAGGTAATTTTTTTATTAAAATACTATGCTGCAGACAATCAAAAACCTTAGATAAATCGAAAAGGTCCGCCTTGGTATGTAGATGGTTCTCAAATCCTTCGTTAACAAGATCTATAAGACAATTGATAGCTGTAGTAGTAGATCTGTTCCGTCTAAATCCAAACTGCTTGTCATTAAATAATTGACTTGACTCTAGATGAGAGGTTAGTTGATCTTTTAGCAGAATTTCAAAAATCTTAGCAAAGTATGAGATTAGAGAAATTGGTCGATGGTTGGAAAGCACATCACCCGATCCATTTTTAAGTATTGGAATGACTTTGGATATCTTGAGAATTTTAGGAAAAGTACTATTTCGAATACAAATATTAAAAAGTTTAGCGAGTGGAACGATAATCAGATTCATTATGGTCTTTATAATTTTTGAATTCAATTTATGTACATCTGTACTCTTAGAATTTTTTAGTGATGAAATCGCTGATCTGACTTGATTGTAGGATACTTCTTTGAACAAGAAAAGGTCGATGTTATCAGTATGAACCAAGTAGTCTAGTGCATCACGATTTGCTGGAGGAATATTGTCAATGAGCGTCTGGGCTATACTTGAGAAGTATGAATTGAATTCGTTAGCATTCAAGATGTTGCTTTTGTTCTGATTATTAGCTGGAACATTGGATCTAATAATATTCCACATTGCTAGCTGCTTGTTGCTCGAATTGTTTATATACAAGTCGTGTGCTTGTTTTTTGCTATTAGTGATAGCCTGTCGATATTGTGATCTATACTCGTTAACAGCTTGTTTGGTAACTATTTGTGGGTTAACCTTGTACCAATCCATCAGGAGCCTCAAACGGTCTCTCATAGCACGCAAATGACTGTCAAACCAATTTATTTTTCTTCCCCCTTTATTATCGCTACCAAAGATACGTGATTTATATGGAAGGCATTTTTCAACTGTACTGCTGATTAGATGAATGAATGTTTCAAAGGCTTGCTCGATGTTATCATTTCCCCCGATGAATGACCAGTCAACCTTCTCAATTTCCATGTACAGATTGTATATATGTATACAAAAACTGACCGAATAATCTTCTTCTTCTAAAAGGTTCACTTGTTAGAAGTGTCTAAAGCTGATAGTTTTCGAGATATTTGTTTTTAAATCGTTACATCTTGCCGATCCGTACATTAAATGCATATCAGAATATGACGCTGCCACGGAACAGTAGAAATCTAGAAATACCACAACCTTTCTGAAGGAGAGAAAAGCCTATGAAAATCAAGGAGGCCATACAGGCGTCCTACAATAAGTTGTAGGAACGACTGACGTCACGGTCCCAAAAGTCTATTTATGTTTGTCTTGTTCTATTCATATACTTCCTGCTTCTCTCCATCGTTAGTAGCTGCAGATGCCAATGTCTCCTCATTACAAATTAAACTTCCTATTAGGCGATGTTTTTGGAGGTTATGATCTCACTCTTACTCAATTGACACAATGTTCATTAGTGAGATGATTTGCGGTGAATAATTCTCACGAAGCTTACCCTTTTCCACAAAAAACACTGTCAAACAATGTACATCTTGGAGACACGCTTTGTTAGATATACCCTATTTCACGAGTATCCATCACGGTTTGATGTCTACTGAGGTGAACAGCTGATCAGCAAGTGACATTTATGTGTTACTCTGCAACGTTGGCAATAATGAATCGGATATAAATCTAGTAAAACTTGTTTACGGCGTTTTGTTTTTTTGTAACTTTCTAAATGAAAGAGCTGTTAGCAAGTACAAAATGAATCTGTAGCGTTCACAAAAACAAAACAAAATACGACTCTGATTACCTGGCGTCGACGGATCCATCAGAAGTATGTGTCCTGTGCCGATATGGGGAATTTTGAGATATTACTAAACAATCAGCTGTCATTCTACTGCGATCGATACTCGTGGAATACCCACAGACCTGGAATGAAACAAAATGGAAGCCAGTAAGCTTGTTGGTTTGCCATTATGCCTTTTGTCGCTCGGGCACACGTAAATACGCGATAGGCCGAAAAATTAACCTGATGAATTTTGATAGAATGTGCTTAAAATGTGCAAAAAAATATTCCTTTTTATTACTGTCACGTGACAGTTGATAGCCCTTCTTCGAACAAAATCGTCACTTTTTACCACACACATCTATTAAAAAAGGAGAACATACGAGGGATGTCTTTTAAGTTTTGCATATAGAAATAAAACAACACGGTAGGTAGGTTTTAAATGACTTTATTCCACACTTATTCCATTCGTTTGCTGGCAGATCCAAAACGGCATTTTTGAATGCGTCAACTGCTTCTTCTGGTGACTGGAACCTTTGACCACACAGTCTGTTTTTAATTTTCGGGAAAGTAAAGAAATCGTTAGGACTTATGGAGGATGGTCCAATAATTCCACGTTTTCTTCCGTTAAATACTGCCTCAGTACTGACGTTCGATCCGCGCGGCGTACTAAGTTTCTATATGCAAAACTCAAAAGACATCCCTCGTACATTCAGCAGTTCAATTTAAAATGGAAAACCCAACAACAAAGCAGCCTCACTACTTGGCTTTTTACTCTTCTTACCCTACTTTTACCCACTCATACGCCTCTGGAATCAGATTACAAGATTCTAGGCATTCAAGAATTAGGCTTAATGTGTCTATGTATAGATGGCGCTGTGCAACATCAGGCAGCAGAAAACTTCTATGTTAAGATATGATCATCCTCTGTTGCACCTGTCACCTCATAGATGTCGCCATTACGGTTTTTAATTCAAACAAATTTTTAATTTCACTAAAAATCTGAAACAATTAGGCATTTTATTAATTTGTTCGTTTTTTCGTGTTATCTCATACAACTATTAATATTATACATTATACAGTCTAACAACACGCATTTCTATTTGTTCTGTTCTAGAAAAGAGCAAGAGAATAAAATTATGGATAGCTTAACTTCTGTTATTTTGCATAGTAGCAATCATATACAAAAAATAGTTCAATAATTCCATGTGTGGAATCAGTATGCAACAATCCAGAATCATTGTGAATTTGTTCATTTAAATTTTTGGCGGTGACATCATTTTTTGCCACTGGAACTGCCATTTCCTGTTTATTGACAGAAGTGACAGAACGTCAGAAACCCTATTTACCCTAAGCAATTACGCTATGGCTATGGTGAGTGAGGTGGTTCTTTGATAGTATTCACAATCTTGTTTTATTCACCACACTCAAAAAATGATATAGATGATCGGTATAATTCAAACAACCACATTATTGCTGTATGTGTAGTAGTTTGTGTTTGTACTATGTGTTCTGTGACTGAAACCACACCTACGAAAACTGTACAATAATAATGAATCATTTTTTCCACTAGCCATAGGAAGCTATACGCCAAAGTTTTTTGTATTAAGAAGGTTTTACCGTTTAACGACCATCAATCGGTGTGAAAAGCTACAAACATTTTTATTCGATTTTGATTTGCTATCAAACGACAACGATCGACCGCACCTATCGTGTTTTGATTTTGGGTTTAATCGTTATGACAGCTAGCTCCTGTATATATATTTTTTCGGTAAGTGTTTACCTTCCTACTCATTTTATATCTTTTAGATAATATAGATAAGGGAGATTATAGAAAAAGGTAGAATGAAATGATTATGGTTGTAGTTATCGTTTATTCTATTTTATTGAGCGGATCGGACCGTAACCAGGTACCACAGAAATAGTTTCCCTGAAATTGCTCGATTTTTAAATACCCGCCGGAGGTTTGCGATATAAGCAAACAATGGCCTAAGGATTAACAAGAGGTTATATAGTTTTGAAATGTTGATCAAAGAACTATGATTTTCCCCGCATTCCACTTCATGCATTCATTAATCATTGTGTCCATAAATGCTTTCTTTTCTTGCTTGATGATGTCATCCTATATTCTTAACAAATCTTATCTATTCATGCCAAAGGCAGTTTTTAAGGTAGCATTTGGGCTAAATTTAAGAATTGGAGGTAATGCCCCTAAATGCTAATGTGGGTAGACCTCATTAGCATGAATAAATATACTTCATTCTGAATGTGACACTAGAGACACCCAATGTACAGTTAGATGATGAGTACTAAATTGTACTCTCAAGTTCTAATTTAACTGGAATGCAAGATGCAAGTAGTTTGAGCTCATTCATGAATTACATTCTAAAATATTGAATTACTTGAGTTGCATATATACAGTATTATATTTAACTGGTCAATGTGTTTATATTTTTACATTTTTTTAGTGAGGCTACATCAATTATTTATAGAAATCCTATTTTAAAGAAATTTATACTGGTTTATATTTAGCTTATCAATGAATGTTGGAGCCACCTATCTGCTAAGTTACTGGGATCAGATGCCTAGATATATTTTGTGTGAAATAACATAAGGTCATTTATTATTTCAAATCATATACTCCTTAGATTGCATAATAAACCTTGTCTTCAAAAACAGCATAGTGGTAAAAAACTCACTGTTCTGTAGTACTAAGCAGAGAGGGGATATAATTATGCTGTTGACTTGAAAAATGTGTAGAAAGTTTGAGCGTCTTGATTTTCATTTTATTGAATAGCCAGAAACAAGTTCTTTGTATTCACAAGCTTCTTAATTATTTTCATTACATAGATATAGTTGAATTTATTGAAAATTCATTTTCAACAGTTTAATTAATCAAGTACAGCTTATTAAAAGAGCAGGTCTGGTACATCTCCAGGTAGAAATCTTTGCAATTCCTGCATGTGTGTCCTGTATTTTGGAAGTGGCAGGGTCTAGGAGAAGGATAACAATCTTCTCCAACAGCCAGGCTGCAATGAAGGCACATATTACTTTGAGCCTTCTATTCCAATAATGGCTCTGGATTGTCTAGCAGCAAGGCATCTAGTATTGTTAGTGTGTGTACGGGGGTATCCTGGGATAAATGGCAATGATACGGCAGACACTCTGCCAAAGACAGGAAAATGGAGAAGTGGATTGCAAGACAACACTCTCAGAAATGGAGAAGCTTCTCCAGACATCTCTGCAGGCACGGGGCCTCATTGTATCACTCAGTGCTGAGGATGGACATGTTTGCTTATCCTTGGATAGAGCCAATGTTCTGTGTCGTTGTGAGGCTCTGAGTTACTTCAGGCAGACTATACAGGGATTCAACACTTTGGACCCCCACGACGTTAAGGAGCCTGGTCATACTTAACTTTGCTAAAATGGCAAGGCTTGAGGACTAAGGTATCTAGAGGTGCACAAGGGCTATATTTTATGTCACATTTCTTACCTATAGTTCTGGTTTTGGATTTTTATCATTCAGAACACATAGTTTTGATATCAAAAAACTGGTTTCAATCGCCAACCATCCAACATCAAAACATAATCAAAATCAAAGGTATATCTGTAAACAAATATAAGCACACAAACCACCAGACCGGCCTAGGGACATTTGCATACATTGATAACTTTAAGTTACTAAGTATTCTACCAGAATTACATGTTAACTTGCATGAAAAATCACACTGATTGATTTTCATGCAAGATCCCTGCCAGTTGCAAGAAAATGGCAGGAAGAATCAGCTGTTTTGTTAGTGTGTATGTGTCTTTTTAACTTTTCTTTTGCTCCTGCTGACTGTAGAAGGGGTATATAGTAAAAAAGTGACATGACATAAAGGTTTTATTGTATATTGTCAGTCTTGCTAAAAAACATGATTTGTTACAAAAAAAATTAGAAAACCTGATTTTTTTGATCAACGTTCCAGTAACGTTTTTGTTAACTGTACATATTATACCATTTATGTATTTGTTAATAATTTTTATTATTTATCTACAGCAGCTGTTCATATTATCTTCACTTAAAAGTTGTATGCCTTAGTAAAACATAACATTTGTGCAGATATGTCAAACAAAAACGTAGGATCTTGAGAAAACTGCAGTCAAAAAACATTACTAATGAGTGGAGAAAATGACACTGATTTACTAAGTATCAATAACCAAATATAACTGAAAGTTGTAGATACCCCCATTATGCTAAGCACAGCAGTATTGCACTACTTGCAGAAAAGAAAAATCGCCGCCTTAGACCAAATAGTTTGGCTACACTTGCCAAGTTCAAAATCGAATTTTCTTGTCTGAAATGTCACAAGAGTGGAAATATTACCTGGACTATTAAATTTTGGACAAAATATATAGGGTTAATTAGGTATTGAGGTCCTCTGTCTTCTGACTTTAGTTAAATGCATCCATAACTTTACATCCTGTATATCATCATGTTCATCATTTTACAAGGTTTTTTGACTTAACTATTAATTTGTTTGTCATTTTATGTTATGTTGGGTAATGCATGGTATTTAGAAAGATTCTCTTAGCAGTATTTACATTAAAGGTTTGTTGTTAGAAATATCAAATTATGCATTACTTTGATATAAATGTTCATGAGCTCATTTTGAGATTTTAAGCAGGTTATATTTAGAAGTATATTAATAAAGTAACCTTGATACTGTGATGTTTTAATTGTGTTTTTATATATACAGTATTTGTCATTGTGATTGTAGTAGTTTATTTTAGTATTGTTCTATTTGAAGCCACTATTTTTTTAAGACATATACATTTTAGATAATCTGTTGACACTGAATATATTAGGCCATTGTTATTCATTTTGAAGCTATTCTCAGATATCCTTCAAGTTCCTTTGAGTCAAATAGACTCCAAAATAGTAATTTTCCATGCATTGTTTTTAACATTGATGAGAAAATTTACAATACTTATTTGAGACATTGGTATTTCCAATTCCATAAATTGAAGCCGGCAGCCTATAAAAATCTATTTTTTGAAGTATATCATTATGGATTGTCTATCTTAACCCCATTGTTAGAGAAAAGCCCTAAAGCTTTCTCGTGGAGAATCACCCCTATCTTGTTACTAATAATAGCTGTTGGAATATTTGTCGGTTTATGAGACTTATAACTCCAATTCTGTCAGCTTTTATCTACCCATATATACATAGTAACTGCTGTGGTTTCTTTTATGAAACACTGGGATCAATATTTTCACCCCCTATTCTCAGAAGTAGCACAACACATAATAGACCCATGAATATCCATTTACAACTGTAATTTTCTACATTCACGCTACCTCAGTCACCCCCAAAAATGTTAATTAACCTATGTTTTGTTTGACTTCACTTGCACAAGAAGGGCTTTTCGCGACGATAACGGCGTGTCATCGCGCTGTTTATCATTTTCTTGTTTTTGATCAAATATAGGGTGTTTCGTATCATAACTTATGCGGTATTAATAAAGTAACTTGTTAATTTTCAGGGCGTGATTTCTTGAGTGATTTGTAAATGTAAGCATTATCAGGCTTTGTTTTCAAGGCAAACTATTTCTGAATACTAACTTTTCTTGAAAATCTTATTAACTCTTTAGCCTGTTTTGTTCCAATTTGAAATTTTGTGTGCACTGATGTAACGAAGGAAATGACCATGACCAATTATGGTTTTGATAGTAACACGTTTTTCTTAATCGATTTAAGTGAATTTCTGGCGTTACGTCTGTACCTATTCATAGGACTCCATTGTCCAATTGCACTTGAAAAGGCCAGTTGCGGTAGCCCAAACATCGTACAATAAACAAAAAGTATAACATATATTATGTGGTTTCGTTTGGCCAGATATTGGGGTCCTACTGCCCAAAAATATTTGTTAATTAATAATAAGCGATCTATTAAACATGGAATACCGATATGAATCCGAGTGAAATTCCGTTTGACTTTTGTGGATGTGGGGACAATGCCCATAGGGTAAAGATGAAAGACTGAACAAGGAATAGCTTTGGATTCATTTTCGTACCAGGAGCAATCCTCTATGTTGCTTGCTACCTTGATAAGTATATTTTTATTGAAAAATCGATATTACTGTAGATATCTGTTTAGATATAAGCAGCATTATAGAGGGTATTTCAGAACTATGGGCTCAAATTTGTAGGGGTTATTCAGTGTAATAGTAAAAAACATTTGAGTATAGGGACCCATAAACCGGAAAAGTGTCACTACGGCACCACGGCCCTAAGACGCGTTAAAATTTAGAAAGACGATGAATTGCCTGAATAGGATTTAATGCATTTAATTTTTGTCTTTTGTACATGAAATCACAACAATTGTTCAAAACGTCTTCCTCCAACCTGAATACACGGTTCCTGTGGGGACATGTAAAGTCTTTGGTTTATGAAACTCCAGTAGAAACAGAGCAAGACTTAATTGGACGAATTACAGCAGCATTTGAAATCATTCAAAACGAGTATAAAATTTTTAGTCAAGTCCGCCGAAATCATGTGCGACGTTTAAATCGGTGTATTTATGTTGGATGAAGACATTTTGAACAATTTCATGTGATGATATCATGTACAAAAGGCAAAAATTAAATGCATTAAATCCTATTTAGGCAATTCATCGTATTTCTAAATTTTAACGCGTCTTAGGTCCGTGGTGCCGTACTGACACTTTTCCGGATATGGGTCCCTATACTCAAATGTTTTCTACTGTTAGACTGATGAATAACCCCTACAAGTTTGATCCCATAGTTCTGAAACACCCTGTATTGTAGCTACACACAACATGATTGGTATAGCAGCTTTTATTTAAACTACACAGAGGAGGTTTCTTATAATCAAAACCAGATTTCGAAATGTGCAATATCCTTCGCATCTTTTGAAAATACGCCAATATTAAAAAATCTTAATCGAAAAATCGTGTTTTTACTGATTGTTTTTTTCTTTGCAGATGTAGATAAGTAGAATACTCTTAGAAAATGAAATACTGTTTAGATTATTTTATACTCCTGACGCTATTAAGTTGGACAAAAGCAAGAGAAGGTAAATATGCACTGAAAATTATTGAACACGCATGATTCGAGTGTTTCATTTCCAGTTCCGTCACCACCTTACATCGTAAAACAGCCGCCTACAGATGAGGTTCTTTTCCAAGTGGAAACTAACGGAGAAAATGACAAACCATTTTATATTGAATGTGAAGCTATGGGAGAACCAGCACCTAAGTATGTCTCTTTTACTTTATTGAATCTGTAAACATATGAAAAAATACGATCCGAATTGATTTAGTTGTGAGCTGAGTCTTTGTCACTCTGTAGTGAAATTCATTACCTATTTCAAAGTTAATAACTTACAATACTTCTTACAAACTTGTATCCACCATATTCGTATTCAGTGCTCAAAGTTACCTGGGCATACAAAGTCTGGCTTCTAAGAAGAAGGGACAAGAATGGAAATTGAGCTCTTTGAAATTTTATAATGTTGTGTACTTCCCACGCCACTGGGGAGGAAGTAGTGTAGCCGCGAAAAATTTCGAAAACGATATTTTCGATGTTATACGACATCTATGTAAAATCATGTTACTCATTTCTGTCGACCTGGCTGCTATTCTTGGCCCGTCTATAACTTGGAAAGTACCGCTCGGATTTTGGTGAAATTTTCACACAAGGTAACTACAGGGTCCAGCACAAAGGTCGGACGGTATTTAAAAAATCACAAAATCTGTAACTTTTACTCAAACGAAATTTCTTGACGGATCCGGCTTCACAATCAAATAGCGTTTGTCACAATTAAGTGTGTAAAATCACAATCAGTCATGTGGTGACCCTCTTTGACGATGCATTGCTGGGAGCGTTCTTGAAAGTTCGCGTAGACTCTCCAACATCGTTCTCTCAACTTGGGCGACTTCCACGCGAATTGACTCTTTCAACTGGTCCAGAGTTCGGGGCTTGTGCTCGTATACACGAGCCTTGTGGTGTACCCATAGGAAAAAATCGCAGATGGATAAATCTGGGGACCGAGGAGGCCAATGAACATCACCAAATGCGGAAATAAGGCGACCACGGAAGAGAGGGCAAATAACGTTCTTGTTGCTGACCCCATCCTGTTGGAACCACACACGTCAGAATGGAACACGTCCTAGTCGTAATTCAGGTGAAAACCGTCACTGTTGGGGTGTGTGTGTGTAATTGTCGCGGATTTTCATTAGCCCAATAACGACAATTCTGCTGGTTAACCATGCCATTAAGATGAAAGTGAGCTTCGTCACTCATGAACAAAATGAGGTTCACTCATTTTGCTCGATAAGTGCTTCCATCTCAGGTGCGAAGTTCATTCGTTGTGCGTAATCTCAAGCCTGGAACTGTTGCCCAATGGCCAATTTGTAGGGGTGAAATCGCTCAAACTTCGTTTTTTGAGGTTTCACTAGATCAATTCCAGAAAACATTATGTAGGGATTAAAAATTGCGGGTTGTGGTTATGGGGGTGGGGAAGGGACGGGTATGTCTCAATTTTTCGCGTAAGTATATTCATACGCTTCCAACCCTGGTAGGCATATCTCATACATTATAGACTTTCTCATATACAAGATCTGTCGCATAGTAAACAGAACAAAGAAAAAAATGAGCAAAAATTTTTTGTTTCGGAAAATAATTCAAAATAGTCTCCTTCAGAGTTAATACAGCTATTTGCACGGACCATAAGATTTTCGAATGATGATTTTAGCTCATTGACCGGGATGTCCTTGAAAATGGTCGACGACGCCTTTTGGATGGCCTCTACGTCATAGCTAAATGTAGTTTACACAGAACAGAAAATAGTGCTATATCAAGAGAATATGGGGAGTGGTTGATGGTTAAAATGCCATTTTTTGTCAAACAATCCGACAGAAGCGTCGATCGATGAGATGCGCATTATCGTACAAGCGCCAGATTCCTTCTTCGCGATATTCTGGCTGATCAAGACGAATACGCGACAGCAAACGGCTCATAACACCAGGATAAAACACAGCATTAATCGTTTGGCTCGATGGAACGAATTCTTTGTGAATAATTCGCTTCGAATCGTAGAAACAAATCAACATTGTCTTCGCTTTGGACTTTTCCAAACGGCATTTTTATCGAATTTGGGTCGCTTGGGTGCTTCCATTCGGCAGATTGACGCTTGATTTCGGGATCGTATTGAAATCACCATGTTTCGTCACCAGTCAAAATATTGTACAGGAAGTTTTTGTATCTTTTTGCCTCCTTAATGATGTCTCTCGAATGTTTAATTCAAAGCAAGTTTTAGTCATTTGTGAGCTTGTGCCGAACAAACCGTGAACGCACCTTTCTCATGCCCAAATTCTTGTTCGAAATGCGATGGATTGAATCTTTAGAGATATTTAATTCCATTTCTATGTATACTAAGTGACATATAAATCCGAACACCCAGTTTAAATGGTTTTATTTTAATAAAATTTTGTATAAGTACTTAATGAAGCATAATAAGTAAATGATAAAAATTTCAAACTGATTGCACTGCTTTAAAGCCCTTTGACCTTTAATAATGTGTGGATGCACCCTGATGTGCTACGCATTCTCCAACGCGCCTAGGCATGCTTCTGATCAGGTGGTCAATGTCCTCCTGTGGTATCTCATTCCAGGCAACCACCAACTCCTCTCGAAGTGCTTTTAGAGTCTGAGGAGGACGTTGCAAATTGAGCAATCTCCTACCCATCATATCCCACACGTGCTCAATTGGGGATAAGTCGGGAGATCTTGGTGTCCATGGTAACAATGTGACATCATTATGTTGAAAGAAGTCTATTGTGACTCTTGCAACATGTGGTCGGGCATTATCTTGTTGGAAAGTTGGATCTGCCAGGGTGTCGAGATAGGGTAAAAGATGGGGTTCTAGAACTTCGTGGATATAACGCTGCGCATTCATGTTACCTCTGATGAAGATTAAAGGTGACCTGGAACCATAAGCTATAGCACCCCAAACCATAACTCCAACAGTGTGATGAACATGTCTTTCAACAAAAAACTGTGGATTCCTCCTTTCACCACGTCGCCTTCTAACCCTGGCACGACCATCGTGCATGCCTAAACAAAATCGAGACTCGTCACTAAAGACAATACTGTTCCATTCCTGATCCCAGAGTGACCGTTGTCTGCACCACTCAAGGCGATTACGTCGGTGTTCTCGAGTGTGGCCGGTATGAAAACAAGCCAAAACTTCTCATTCGTAGGTAAACACTTCGCATGCCAATAGGTCTTCCGTGTTCTGCAAACCATTCATTTGCAGTGGACCTGGTAGTGGAGAAACGGTCCCTTAAGGCCAATAATCTTAGGCGGCGATCTTCACGGTCTGTTGTTCTATGGCGGCGTCCAGTGCCCCTTGCTCTTTGCGTACGGCCTTCTCGAAGCCATGCCTGACAACACCTAACCACAGTGTCTACACTTCTTGGCACTCTAACTGCAATTGCCCGAAAAGAAAGTCCAGCTTCCCGAAGTCCCACTATACGGCCCCTATCAAACTCACTAAGTTGAAATCGTACAGGTCTCCGTACTCTAGGCATCGTAACCGATCGTAAAGGATGTCAAGAACCAAAATCCGCCAACGTTGATTCTTTACTGCGGCTGAAATATTCATTTTTAAAGCGTTAGTAAATTAAAAAAAAGCAGTATAAAAACCGGAATGTCCAACTGATAATTTTTTCACTTGTTATTTACATAAAACAAATACATTCACCAACTTTTATTATAATAAAACCATTTAAGCTGGGTGTTCTTATTTATATGTCACTTAGTATATCTCAATAAAGCTTTTGGATGACTTTTGATAAATTCACATACTTTTTCGATGGTTTCTGGAGTAATCACAAATTTTGGCTGGCCAACTTGTTCGTCGTCTTCCAGCGACTCACGACCCTCTTTGAACGGAATAAACCATACAGTTGCATAAACATCTGATGCGTTTCGGTAAATGTTTTTCCAAGTTGAACACATAACTTAACGGTGCAGATTTTTCGACCGATGCTAAAAAGTTACTGTCACTTGAGTGGTTTGATTCTCATGAAATTTTCATGTACCTAATAGAAAGCGCTACTTGTTCGGATACCTTTCAAAAGTCCTGTTTACTTTGCGACAGACCTTGTATTTGCCCTTATAACTGTGATGAATATTTTCAGTTCACGTAACTCAGGTCCCACACAACTCAATGAATAATCCTGCTTTGAGGGCTGACTGATGTCTGACTCATGGTTGACTACAATGAGTAATGCTGTGCTGGGTTATTAAGTGTCAAGCTTAGTCACAACATTACCAGATGATCGGTACTATCGTTATAGATGTTCGTAGATAACTTTTTACTCATGCGGGCTAATTTGTGCTAAACATAATCTCTTATGAACTGATGAAAGCGTTGCTTGGGAAATGCAGAGTCAACCTGCTTGACGTCAGTGTTCACTTCGGCCATCTGACTGACTAAGCTATTATTCACCTCTATACGCATCCAAGACAAAAAATGTACTATTTCCGGCGGTTGTAGGAAAATAACATTATCATTTGTTTTTAGATACTACTGGATAAAAAACGGGAAAAAGTTCGAATGGCAAACATATGACAACAGGATATCACAGCAGACAGGTAGAGGCACGCTGTCTATAACAAAGCCACGTGATGAAGATATTGGACAATATCAGTGTTTCTCCGTCAATCAATATGGCACTGCCACATCAAACTCTGTGTTCATGCGAAAGGCCGAGCTCAATTCCTTCAAAATGAAGGCACCAGAATCGCTCGTGGGCAAAGAAGGTGATCCATTCAAACTCGAATGTCAGCCTCCAGATGGTTGGCCTAAACCAATCGTGCATTGGATGTACCAGTATTCTGACGGTGGCTTCCAAACTATCAACAGCTCTAGGATGACACTAGATCCTGAAGGTGAGGGTTATTTTTTCATGTTGCCAAGTCGTAAGAGTCTTTCCATCACCAAATATAAAGAACAATCCATTCAGATCGCCAGCAACAGGCTAGCTTAAACCTAGATTAACGTATTCTACCGAAAAGTTATCTGAAATGAACTGAAAAACCGTCGCGGCCTCTATGAGAATTTATCAGCTATTTTTCTCTCCGCGACAATCACAGATCAACTTTGAAAATTTACTGTCCCCTATTGCTCATGTATAGCTGGTTACAGCACCATCTACGAGACACACTAACCTTTTCAAAGTAAATCTATGATTATCGCGGAGAGTCATAGCTGTAACGAATTCTCATAGCGGTTTTTCGGTTCATCTCGGATAATTATTTGGACGCGCGAATATGGCATTAGGTTAGCTACATTCAGGTAGAATTGAAGACAAAAGTGGATAACAGTGTCATGTAACAAAATCATTGTATAGAGAAAAGTGATTTTAAACACTTTTTTATTGGGACTTTTTACGTGATTCTTAAATATTTAGATTAATTAGTTTGTTATCATCTTGTTTTTGCAACAAAGTATTCACAGAATGAATCACTCCTTAAGGTTAGTTTAATGCAAAAAAGCAATTAAAAAAATACATGACACGGTTATCCACTCGTGTCTTTAATTGTTTAATCAATGCCTTTTAGTTTGACAGTATTGACCGCTGGCATCAGGTTGTTTATTTTTTTATTTTGATGTGAAGCTAACCCTCAAAATTCTAAACCTTGCTAAACTTTTTCGTGGAGAACTTTTAGTAGTATTTGTGCTACGATTACTTTTACTTCAGACAAATCAAGAAATGAAAGTGACCACAAAACTAGCAGAACTTGAATAAAAATCTACATTGCCACATTGCATGTAAAGGGTTGTTCAATAGGGACGCAGGAAAGTAAACGTCAATTTGACATAGACGCCATCTTTGTTTTCTGTCACCGACATGTCATTTTGTTAATTGAATGTTTACCATTGATCGCTATGGAGTTGTATTCGATTGAAGACCTCATTAAAGTTATTCAAGAGCACTACAAAAATGGTGCAAAAATAAAAAAACACGTTTCGCGCGCTTCGTGAACATTTCGGTCGCAACAACCGCCCAAACGAAACAACCATCGGTCGTCTGGTGCGTAAATTCGAGGCAACAGGTTCTGTGGCAAATCTGCCAGGCTCTGGCCGGCCAAGGAGCGTTCGCATACCGGAAAATATTGCTGTTGTGAAGGAGAGTGTGAGAGACGATCCGAAACAATCAACAACGCGTCGATCCCAAGAATTGGGCATTTCGAGAACCAGTTTGCTCCGCATTCTCCACAAGGATTTGAATGTACACGCCTACAAGATCCAATTGACGCAAGAGCTGCGTCGGACCGACCATTTTTCGCGCCGAACGTTCTCAGATTGGCTCCTTGAACACCGCCAAATTGATGCCAATTTTTCATCAAAAATCATGTTCAGCGACGAAGCGCATTTCACTTTGAATGGGACGGTAAACAAGCAAAACTGCCGCATCTGGGCGAACGAAAATCCCCGTGAGTATCAAGAGCAGCCGATGCGTCCTCAAAAAGTGACTGTGTGGTGTGCATTGTGGTCAAAAGGCATCATCGGACCTTCTTTTTCGAAAATGCGGCCGGGGACGCCGTTACCGTCAATTCTCAGCGATATCACGTGATGATAGAGGACTATTTTTTGCCGCAACTTGAAGGAATGGATATGGACGATGTTTATTTCCAACAAGACAGTGCAACATGCCACACAACCAACGTCAATATCCATCGATTGCAGTCCTTCTTCGGTGATCGCGTGATTTCGCGCAGAGGAAATGTGCCATGGCCACCAAGATCGTGCGATTTGACTCCCTTGGACTTCTTTTTATGGGGATATTTGAAAAGCAAAGTCTACGTCAACAAACCAGCCACCCTCCAAGAACTCAAAAACAACATCATTGCCGAGATAAATGCCATAGGACCGACCATGTTGCAAAATGTCATTGAAAATTTCGACCATCGCTTGGACGTCTGTAAATCCAGTCGTGGTGAACATTTGAGCGATATTATTTTTCATACATTAATTGTATAAATGAACCTTCAAAATAAAGTACCCAACTTGATTTGAATATCAATCTTTCTTGTTTTAATATGCGTTTACTTTCCTGCGTCTGTTTTGGACAACCCTTTATAACAAAAACCAGGAACAATTCAATTTCATTTAGAACACTGCCTATTTCTTGCATTTATTTTTATCTGTGACTTGATTCATATATCAGTTATACTTTAACCAATATGTTTTTATTACCTTTAGCTGAAAAATGTACGTTGTCTAATTCCGATAAAATGAGTTGTTTTTGAGGAAAAACAGTGTCCTCGTCGATTCACATTGCAGCCGATACCTCAAAGTTATATAAAATATAACACTTGATTAAATGATCAGAAAGTTATATCCGTGACACTGATTGAACACTTGTTATGAGAATTACTATATTTTCAAAATGGCGAAACAAGTAGAAAGAAAGCAGCAATTTATGCAATTTCTCAAAACCGGCACATTTTGTCAGTATCAATGTTTTTCTGTTTGAGGATCTTTCTTTTGACAAATATCGTTTTTGGGCCACTATTTTGCTATGTATCAGAGAAATTTAAATTATTGTGTTAGGGCTAGTCACGGGCGATCTAAATGAGCTAATTATTTTGTTTAGGGGGCCTGTATTTCCGTAGGGGATAAAATATGACATTTTTCTATAGGGATTTGTGACATTATTTTTCCATGTTCTTTTGCATATGAGAGATTGGCATGTTATTCTGGGTCACCCTGTATAGGCATTTGAAATTCTCCTCCTTCTATCAACTAACAGCTACACTTTTACTTCACTTCCTAAAACTTCTGTGTAATATTTAGGTTTTCCATTATAGTGGTTTTGATAACTGTCACAATTATTTTCAGGTAACTTATGGTTTTCAAATTTGACAAGAAATGATGTTACACAGAACTTCATGTATGCTTGCGCGGCTACATCACCGACCAAATATGAGTACAAATATGGAAACAGAGTCCTTTTGAATGTTGTACCAGCCGGAGTTTCAGCAGCTTCCAACAAAAGGGAACCGGTTGAGCAGTATGTTACCAGGAGGAACTTTGTTGCCTACAGAGGAAAAAGGGCCGAGATTTACTGTATATTCGGAGGAACGTGAGTGTACCTTGAGTAATCTCGGCTTCCTTAATATAGTTTTCAACCCCTTGCTGCCTACTGGCCTTTTAATAATAATAAATTTATTCATTCTTTAGACCTTTACAGGTATTGGACATGTCATCTATTATGAAATAGGTGTAAACAATGGCATTTATCATGATTGAATAAAACATTTTTTGGACACACATGAACGCATAATCATGTAGATAAACATTACAGAAACAAATAATGCTCAATTTAACGTTTTAAAATTTATTGAACAGCACAACAATTATGCGGCGATAAAAATTTAACAATGAAAGTTAGCAGTCTACTTTAATGAACATGTTTATAAATACCCACTATAATTTTTTTCCTGTAGACCACTGCCTCAAACAGTTTGGTATAAAGGCAACGAAAAGGTGCAAGCTTCGGATCGAATAACGCAGAATAATTTTGGAAAATCTTTAGTTATAAAAGCTGTGGACTTTGATGATGAAGGAGCATACACTTGTGAAGTTAGTAACGGTGTTGGTGAAGCTAAGTCACGCACTATAAATCTGAAAGTGTTGGGTAGGTTATATATTTTTAATATGTACAACTACTCATATTGTGTTCACAAACCCTACACGGAGATGTGTCACTTATTCGCATATTTTTTAAATGAACTGAATGCAGTTAGTTGAAGCAGTATTCATACAATGAACAAGAAAATTAAATGTGTTAGCAGTCTCTTTCAGGATAATTTTCTTCTCCTACTTCCACTCACACTAATGCCATATCTTGTATAATACACAACTTTCAACTTTGAGTAGCAATGGTTTGCGAAATAATTGTAAGGTCTGGTTTTATTGATGCAAGTTGTTCAACGGGATATTTAAAACATGGACGCATAAAATAGGTACACCAATTTTTGTGGGAAAACTTTTTATTCGACAACAAAGAATGAGAAAACGTCTTTTTTGGGATTCAATCGAAAGTGTGAGCAGGAACGAAAAAATTCTTTGAAATAAGATTTTTAGGTATTTATGAGACCTACAGAAGACAGGTGTTTTGGGATAAACAATTGGAAATTCTCAAAAAGTACTTGACCAATCGACTCCAATTTTGCTGTGGTTATTTAGAAGTAAGAAGCCTTCGCACTTGAAGAATTTCAAGCAGGTGCGTGGAATTATCGTCGCATTAGCAACAAGTGCCGAAACCTGCATTTTGCCTAGGTTTCCGTCCATAACTTTTTTATTATTAATTGGATCTTTCTACGTGTGGTCTCATTCTGTAGGTCTCATAAATACCTAAAATTCTTATTTGAAGAGTTTTCTCGTTCCTGCCAACACTCGATTGAATCGTTTTCTCATTCTTTGTTGTCACAATTATTTCGGGGAAATTTGCTAATATGATTAGACTATAAGTAGACACAATACTTTCATTCGACAAATTTTACATGCCTATGATATCAGTGAATAATTGAAAACTGCAACAGAATATACAGAGCTTTCATTAGCATGTATACATTCAGTAGTGAAAATAGTGGGCTAGGTACACACCTTCACATTCCATTGTTTGTCGCCAAAATTGCGTAGTTATAGTGCATATTTTTGACTCATTTGTCTACCAATGCCTACCAAAGTGACAGAGTTGTATCAAAATAATAATGATATTTCCCAGTGGAAAAACTACGTTCATTAGGCTCGTGCCGATCTTTGCAAATTATGTGAAAAGTACCATGTCTTGAAATCGACTAACACCACAGTTATCTGCATTCACACATTTTAAAAATAGCGCTAAATATACGAATTTAATGGCAGAACTGTAAAAAAATTGACTGATGTGAATTGCACTTTGATCCTCACTACAGACTATCAGAATTAGGAGACAAACTCCTGGACTAGCTCCTTCTGTCAAGTCTGAATTCATTGATACACCTAATATGAACTTTTTACAAGCAAACGCATTAGTCACATTATTGTGTTGATACAATATATCCAGAAAATTTGATCAAAATTATTTTTTTGTAGCTGTCCCATATTTCAAGAAAGAACCCGAAAGAGTCAATGCAGCTGAGGATGAAACTGTCGAATTTGTTTGTGAAGCTGGAGGTGTACCAGAGCCAAAGATTGAGTGGATCCACAATGGAAAACCACTATCACAAGCTCCGTACAATCCCAGAAGAAAGGTGTACGAAAACAAAATCGTTATTGAAAGACTGGTTAAAAATGATACAGGAAACTACGGTTGTAACGCTACTAACTCCTTAGGTTATGTCTATAAGGATGTTTATGTTAATGTATTGGGTAAGTCTAGTATTCAGTACATTGGTACAGCATTTTGTATCTTCTCATGTTTTTAGCATTGGCTCCTGAGATCACCGAAGCCCCCAAAGACACTGCGGCGGTCGACAATCAAGACGTTAACATGACATGTAAAGTGTTAGGTGCTCCAAAGCCGAACATAAAATGGATTCATAATGGCAAGGAATTGACAGGAGGGCGATACGAAATCAAGCCAAGTGGTGATTTGAGGATAAACAGGGTGCAATTTGATGACAGGGGACATTATACTTGCTATGCCGAAAATAAACTTGGCAATGTCAACGCAAGTGCTAGGCTAGATATAAAAGGTAAAAGCTATTTGGTTCCATGTAGTTTCTTGTTTTGAAGTATTATGATAACGTTCTTAGATTCATGTGAATGCCATTGCAAAGTGAAAAAAATCTCAGTTAGGATAAATATAGAGGAATATTTAATTTTCAACTCTGCTATAGTATGTTATGTTTTTCTGATCCTTGTTTCAATGAATTACTCACTGTTGGATGTGAATTTAATAAATAACAGTTTCAATTTCAAAGCGACCTATGTTTCGGAATATATATTTCCTTCTTCAGACCTCTACAAAACATTAAAAGCCCTAACTGTACAATCCCATTGATCAACAACTTAAATGAAGAACATATGTGAAAGCTATTTATTGTATTTGAAAACAGCTATTTAAATTGAATTAAAAAAACATTTTTTTTAAATATGGGGGTCTGGGTTCTGTAAAGTATTGAGACCGATTTTTTAAAATTTTCTTACATAAATATAATTACAGTTTTATATTGTCACCCTCAAAATAACTCTCTTCTGTAGTCACACAGCGCTGGACCCGGCTCTTCCAATCCTCATAGCAGTATTTATTTGAACACCGATACTCGAATAGCCATCAGTTGATGGTTACAGCCGCTTAAATGTTTTCAACTGTTCCAAAATAGAGGTGATTTTTCAACATCAGGAAGAGATAAAAGTTATAAGGACTCAAGTCGGGAGAATACGGCGGCTGAGGAGCCACAGGAATGTTTTTACTGGCCACAACCTCGTTTACTGACATTGCTGTGTGTTGCAACACTCAGTTGTTCGTAATGTGTGATCTCACACGAATTTCCCTTTTTCGAAGCTTCCAAGAACTTGCTGGTAAAACTGACCGTTTGGCTTTGAGGTAGAAACTCTTTGTGGATTCCGTGGATATCCACAAAACAAATCAACCTGCATTTGATCTTCGACTTCGTCTTTATTGCATTTTTGGGGCTTGGAGAGGTTGAAGTGTGTCACTCCATGCTGTGGCGCTTAGTTTCTGGGTCCTACTCAAACACCCAAGACTCGTCACCAGAAATGCCACGTTCCAGAAAAAAGGGGCCGTTTTCAATCGAATCCAGAAAGTCAAAGCAACTTTCCTTCCTGATGTCCTTTTGGGCTTGCAAATATTTTTTGGAACCGTTGTTCGCAGATTTTCCTCATCCCCAAATCACTGGTCACAATCTGATGAACGGTGGTTGTGAGTAAAATTTAACTTTTTCCCGACCATTCAACAACGATAAAATGCTTAGTTATTTCGATAAAATACTCGAATGAACGATTAGAATGATGAGTTTTTTATTACTAGAAAAAAGAAAATATAAGTAACGCATTCCTTCCGTCTGAAGCTGTTCTGGTCAAATGAAACAAAATGTCGAGCACAATCTAGATATTACAATGATAGAATATTATGTTCTTATGGCCAGGCACAGACTGAAATACTTTTTGATTTCCTTCACTCTGTGTCTAGCGATAAACATTTTAATTCCATTTCAGCTTCACGTTGCCAAATCGACAGTAACTACCTGTAGGGCAAGGTCTAATTTCCATGTTGTACATGTTTGTAACCAATTCTTGTTAGATGACTTAAAGTTCCTTAAATTTAATCCTTTATGAACTGATGACGGCGTTGCGTAGGAAGTGCAGAGTCAACCTACTTGACGCCATTTTTTTAGTAATAAACACATCGTTTATTCGAAGATAATATTTGAATAACCAAAAATTTCAACATTGTGTGTATATGGTGATCATTAATTTTAAAAATTGAAAGTCCGTCAGTTATTTTTTTAAGGTTTTTTTAACTATTGTAAATAAGTCTGTAATTTTTGCATCTCTTTTTTTCAAATTGTCAGTCAATGTGGTGTGGTTTTTGTAGAGCTCTGAAAGAAATCCATTTTTCTAAACTGAAAGTATGTTACTTCGGACCCACATCCAACTAACAAGTAATTTCTTCATTTTCAACGTTTCTATTACAGCTCATACATACATAACGGATGGACCAGAGGACTATGAGGTAGAAGCCGGCAATCCAGCGACGTTTCGTTGTAACGCCGTGGCTGATCCGTCATTAGATTTAGAAATAATATGGATGAAAAATGATCAACGCATCGACTTCGAAGGGGAACCCAGATTTGTGAAGTCTTCCGACTATTCTCTGACAATCTTGAAAACGATAGAGCTGGACTCCGGGACGTACACCTGTCTCGCACAGACTGAGCTTGATGAGACTTCTGCTAGAGCCCATCTTACCGTACAAGACGTTCCAAATGCTCCTGTCATGACCGGGGTTGAATGCCATACTAAGGACGCCACTGTAAGTTGTTTAAACTGTTGGTAATCAAAGTTGAATTGCTAAGCTATTGAATACACGAACACCTCGAAAACTTGACAATGTATACAGTAGTGGACAAAAGTTCGGAAACAAATATTAACATTATTATGAACTATTTCATATACCTAAATTAAAATTGTGAAGGAACAGAATATAAATATTAAAGTCTACCTTTGGTTCCCGTACTAATACAAGGTTTATCTTATCAATATTTAAATTCTCTGAAAATAAAAACACGCGTTTTTTTAATTACCATAGTTTTTGACAAAAGTATGGAAACATTTCAGTTTTGCCGAATTTATTCGTTCTGCGATACTCTTGATATTGCGTGCGGTAAATATTAACATTAGTGAGAATGGCAAAAGTAAAAGAATTTTCCAAAGATTAAAGAGAAAAAGTAATGAATTATTTAGAACTGGTGACAGAAATGTTGACAGTTCTCAAAGATAAAAATGAACAAAGGGAAGATTTAAAAAATTATTAGTAAATATCAAGAATACGGATCAACAGCAACGCGGCCCAGGTGCGGAAGACCGAAAAAAAAAACCGATTATGTTTTGGATCGCTAAATTAAATGTTTGTCCCATCAACATCTTCGAATGCCAGCCACACAAATTTTCAAAAGAATGGTAGAAGAGGGTGCCGAGAATCTTTCTGTCAGAACAGTGCAGAGACGCTTGGTGGATTTTGGGCTTCTTGGTAGGCGTCCAGTGCAAAAGCCTCTGATTTTAAAAAAAAACGTATTGCTTGGCTTGAATTTGCTAAAACGCATCTAACTTGGACAGAACAACAATGCTCTGTTTTACTGAAGAAATAGCAATACAATGACCATACCTCAAAATTCGTAAATGACTGGTTAAGACTAAAAAACGTTTACGTTCTTACTTGGTCTTCGCAATCCCCGGACCTAAACCCTATTGAACTTCTCTGGGAGCATGTTAAAAGACAACTGACAAGAAAAACTTTTGAAAATAGGAATTATTTATTTAAATATGTAAAAAATATTTGGCAAAATATCCTAACAGACGTCTGTAAAAAATTGGTGTCTTCTTTGAGCAGCAGATGTCAACCACTGTTGAATTCTAAAGGCTATGCTACCAAATATTAGCTAAACAGTATGTTTTAAATTTTTTTTGTAGAGATATTGTATTTAATTGTGTAATATAAAATATGTTTCCATACTTTTGTCGTCTCATTTTCAGTCATAAACTAATATGAAGGTATTTTAATGCTAGTATGTAGTACCATTGCAAACACAAATTGTCATTTGTATCCTCAAGACTGTAAGTAAACTATATGAGAAAAAAATAGTCCTTAATAATAAAGAATAAAAAATTAGCACACTTTAAAAATTACTAAGAATGTTTCCAAACTTTTGTCCGCTACTGTATTTTCTGAAAAAAGGTTCCAGAAAAGTATCATGGTATCAAAAAAGCAACTTGTTCGTGATCTAGACAGTTTCGGAGGTCATTTGGAGGTCAGTTTTGTACATTCAAATAGCAACCATAATTGTCGATAGTATATTCGTTTTGAGCTCAACATTATTAAGGTCCGTTTCCTATGGAACAAGTTGTAGGCACATGTTGCGGAGAAACTTTGTTGTAATAGAAACCTGTCTTCAGAATTTGTTTTATATTAATTCCATTTTTTTGGTTTGAAGGTTCGTTGGGAGCCCAAAGGTGATAACAGAGCTGCAATTTTGTATTACATAATACAGTACAACACTAGTTTCACGCCTGAGGAATGGAGAGGTGCTTTTGAGCATGTGCCATCAGCAGAGCTCAGCTACAATGTACCTATGAGTCCTTGGGCGAACTATACATTCCGGGTGATTGCCGTCAACAAAATTGGGTAAGTGCATCTTAGAAGCGACGAGGGATAGTAGCAAAGAAATCTACCTAGTCATGAAAAGAACAATTGAAATACACAAGCATAATATGTCAAATAGTGGCATGTTCTCTAACCTTACTTGCAACATTTGCGGTGATGTTGTTTTTGGTAGGTCAGGGAAAGAATGTATACGTATATGGACTAATTGAATGGACCTGTTTGACTGACCTTTAAATGGTCGTGTTTTTCTTTTAAATAAGGCTTAGTAGTAAATATCATGCTTGGTAAATTGAAGGCAGTCACAGCTAAATTGTATACAAACGAACGTTTGCCAGCACTGAAAAATTTAAGATCTAGATTACCGTTGCCCCTTAGCATCGCATTCAGATAATTCAGCAGCTTTGTGAGGAATCTGGGAATCGTTCACTGTATAGTCCCGACTTGGCGTCATGCGATTTTGTTTTTTTTTCGTTTGCAAAAAGAGCTCAGGTTTACATCTAAGATGAGCTGGGAAACGTTTTATGTGATCCTATTTAACAATGGGAGCGCTATTTTGATGCTTGATTCTTGAAAATTTAAAAAACAATTGTTTTTTATACGACAAAACTTATGTCGGGCCCTACGTACTAAGAATACGAGGTACTGTGTCTGGGAACGTAACCATCGTAGAGGCTTGCGGCAAAAAAGTTATTGCTAAAAGTGCCAAGAGAAAAACCTGTAAAACATCTTCAAGAGCCTGAAATGGCTGCTAGGGGGCGTAACTGCAATCTTGAATGTAAAATGTGATATTTCTGTGAATTCCGCTATATTAACCTAACAAAAAAATACCTGATCTTTAAATTCGGGGATAATCTGAACCTTTTTTGTTTGACAATTTTTGCTGTATCTCTAAAAATGAAGTGGTGGGGGGTATTCAAAGGCTTCCGTAAAATACACTCTGTATCTTCGAAGCGGCTGAGCCGATTTTAACAAACTTGGGCTAGTTGAAAATAAGTATTCTTGGGCTACACATGTTACAATATTTGAAATTTGCTTCACATGTGGCCGCTAGAGGGCTTTTTCGACATTCTGGCAGAAATGGTCAATTTTCTCAAAATAATTAAATGCATTGGTATAATTTTTTTATGAAAAAGTTGTTAAATGATGTCTAAACAAGCTCGCGAAAACCGCATCTCAATATCTTGTTCCTAACCTAAAATTTAGGCCAAAGAAAATTGTACACGGAATTTTTAGTTTTTTAAAGTAATTTTTCTGGAATTTTAGTCTTCAGAATAAAATCAACCGTTTTGAAAATATTATAAAATATCGCTAAAAGGTAAGTAAGTAGTGCTAATAACAAAAGGCATATTTTTTGTTTAAATGCATATGGGTATGTACGAAAAAATACTCAAAAAAATCCTCAAATTGTCAAAAGTTGTCAATGGTTTCGCGTTACTTTGAGCAATTTTTGTGCTTACTAAATGCGTTTGACGAACGATGAAGCTTGTAGTTTATTTTAAATGTCTTCAGAATGCCGCAGTAGCAGAAAGAGTTTACGCGACTCGATAACCAAATCGCCGTCTTTGCGGTGTGAGAGTTTTTTCCGATGGTAGTTTTCGGTCTACGTTTCAATGGCAAATAACTGGAAGAACACAAGAAAATATTAACCACGTACTGGAATATATTGAAGGACAAGGGCATTATCCCTTGAGTTGGGCATATCACGAACAATGATTCAAAATATTTTGACGTACCACAGTTGAGTTCTAATGGCCTCCCAAATATAGGGTATTATTTAAATTTAACTTTTTTAATCACTTTTAGAATGCACCCACATCATGTCGTTTTGCATCAGACCTTGAAAGAGGAAGGCTTTGATCGGAGGTTGGACTATTGTCCTTGGATGTTAGGCATGATACGCGAAAATACAAAATTTTCATTTCAAAATCTTTGGACCGATGAAGCCACCTTTAATAATGACCAGAGAGTCAACCTGCACAATATGCATTATTGGTCTGCGAAAAATCCGCATTGGTTACGTGAAATTCAGCACCAAGGCCGTTAGAGTTTAAATGTGTGATGTGGCATACTGGGAGGAAGAATTATTGTGCCATATTTTTTCGAGCAATCCTCTTTCTTGACTTTTTGGACAATCAATTACCGTTGGAAGATATGCCACTGCAAGCTCGGCAAAACTTGTTTTTGCAGTTGGATGGTTGCCCAGCACATTTGCTGTTATTGTGCGAGAAGCATATTAATGCAGCATTTCAACAGCGGTGGATTGGAATACGAAGTCTGCTTCCATGGCTTAACTTGTCTTGATTTTTACTTATGGGGACGGTTATAGGACATCGTCTTTCAGACTCAACCTACAACGAGAGAATATATGATAAACTGAAGACGTAATGCACTTCGTAACATACCGAGAGCCGAAATTGAAGCTGTAGTTCTGTCTACCTATGAGAGGCTGTGGACCCACAAATATGCCCTCTTTGATTTTTGCCTCACTAAGTCTCGGAAATCTTTGTTTTAAATGCAGAAATCCTCTTCCATTGGGATCCATAGCTTTCACAAAATTTTTCATCAGTCCAAACTTCATATGTAAAGGTCGAAGCAACACGTTTTTGGGATCAACTAGTGATTCATGAGCAATGTTTTTGAGGCCCGGAGTTAATACCTGACGTAGTGTTCCTTCTGTTCATAATGACGATATCGCGCACGACTGTCCCATTCACAAAGAAAACAAAAATATTTGGTATATCCCAGATGCATTCCAAGAAGAAGGCTTTTACCTTTAAATCTGTTCATATGGCCCACCCATATTCATCATAACCGATATGCTCTAACAGAACTCGCATATTTTCATATGATTCCTTCATATGAACAGCGTGCGCTGTAGGTACAGATGGATATTTATTACCGTTGTGTACCAATACCGCTTTTAAACTAAACAAATTGTAGACATCGGAGCAATATATCAACGCCGTTTTCGGTAAAAAGTAATGTTGACATCACCGTGGAGAAGATTCCATCCTTTTAATCTTGACGCTAAAAGTTCTGACTGGGATTTTGACAGATTTAATTCTCGAACTAAGTCATTGAGTTCGCCCTGTGTGATAAAATGCGGCGCTGTTGAACATCCTGGCACGTCAAACGAAGGACGCTTTCTGTACCATCACTTTCAGAATCGGTGGTTTCAACTTTTTCATCCAAAGACCAAGATTCTGGTGGAACTGGGACAGAAAGTTCATCGCAAAGCTGATGGTAAATTAAAATACATAACAGTATGTTTCGATTTTGGTCCAGTACCTTTAATATTTGTGAGGCAAAAATAGCAATCAGTAGTATGGTCTCTCGGTTCTCTCCAAACCATTCGTACCGCAAAGGGCATTTTACGATTGTCGCCTCTTAATCAACCTGTTAACAGCGTTACACACGTCTTACAACATATATGAGGGCCCATAGTTTATCTTGGTCGCCAACTTTAATTCCAAAATAAAGTTCGTATGCTTTTCAACACAAGAGGAGTAAAAGTACGTTTTTGGATTTAAAAGTTAGCTCTCCGCACACATAACAAAAACTGTCCGCACTATTTACACACTTTCTAGGCATTGTCCATAAAGCTAGTTCTCGATCACAATAAACTAAAAACAACACACCGTTTTAACAAAAATTAACAGTACTCAGAACATCTCAGTACTCTTCAACACAGAAAACGTAACTGACTCGGCTGCTATTAGTCTACTAATAAACGCAATATGCTCTCTAAAAATAGAGCTCGCATATAATAAACAGGAATAGACAGGTCTTAACATTAGAGAAATGCAGCAATATGTACGTATTGTAATTCATAAAAGTAGATGTTACCAAATATCTGTCGGTGATAGTAAAATTCTGATTTTAGATTTGATTTAAGGGTCTCAAAAATTGTCATGTCACAGATCCTGTGTTTATCAGTGTTATCCTCGAATTTAAAGATCAGGCATTTTTTGTTCGGTTGATATAGCGGAATGTACAGAAACATCACCTTTTTAAATTCAAGATTGCAGTTACGCCTCCTAGTCCTAGTTCACATACTAGGAAATGTTTGCCAGATTTTTCTCTTGGCTGTTTTAGTTACAATGGATAGGTTCTCAGATACAATACCTGGCATTCTTAGTGGGCTGTACATAATATTCTCCATTTTTTTGACTGCTTCACTTAGAATTAAAAATACTACAATTTCTCTTATCCCGATTTTCGTTTTGATAGACGTTCATCGCCATCCTCCCATTCGGATGTGTGTACAACGCCGCCAGAAGTACCTCACAAAAATCCGGATAATGTAAAAGGAGAAGGAGATAGGCCCGATAATTTGGTGATCACTTGGACTCCGATGCCCCAAATTGAACATAACGCTCCTGGCTTCAAATATCGAGTATACTGGAAACGCGATATACCCGGTAAAGATTATGAATCCCAAGACATTCTGGACTACAGACAAGATAGATGGGTAATACCGAATCAACCCTCATTCCAGCAATACCGAATCAAAGTGAAAGCAATAAACGAGCTCGGAGAAGCTGATGTATCTCCCGAGGAAATTATAGGATTTTCTGGAGAGAGCGAACCAGAAAGGGCACCTACTAACTTCACTCTTATAACCATTCAGGGTCCAACTACAGCACTTCTTAGTTGGGATCCGGTTCCAATAGAATCCGTGCGAGGTCATTTCAAGGGATACAAGATCAAGACGTGGAGCGAAACCTCCCTTATTTCAAAGGAAATACAGGTGCAAGGAGGTAACTCCAAAGCATTGGTCACCAACTTCGACCCTTACACGAAAAACTATGCTCAAGTTTATGTCTTCAATGGCAAATACAATGGGCCTCCAAGCGAAACTCTGTCATTTGACACTCCAGAAGGAAAACCAGGTGAAATGTCTGACCTAGAAGCTATTCCTCTAGGATCTTCAGCATTCTTATTGCGGTGGGAGAAGCCAGACAAGCCAAATGGTATCTTGACAGGTTACAATATCTATTACTCCGAGGTAGATAGTAGCTTGAAGGTGGACGAACCTATCCCAAGAAACCCTCAAATAAAGGATCCCAATGTAAAACAGGCGAAATTAGGTGGTTTGAAACCAGGAACGAAGTACCGCATCTATATCAGCGCAACCACCAAGGAAGGCGAATCAGAAAGGTTCTTCATCGAAAGGCAGACCAGGCCTCTGGGCTCACACAGACCTTCCAAGCCCAGATTTGACTGGGAAATCGTCAAACCAGGACCGCCAACCACCGTAAGTCAGTACAACTAATATATTACACTTTGACTGATTGTAAAATACCTTCAAGGTGTTCTTGAAGTTGTTGTGTGAATATAAGCAAACTTTCCGAGTAGTATACAGTCTTAAATTCGTTCCTGCATCCAGCAAGGATTTAGGTGAAAAGCTGCGACGTGCCCGAATGTTGGAAATTGAGGAAGAAGTATGCCCAGTATTTATAAGCAACGACGGGGCGATATTTGAAATTTTTTATCAAATGAACAATGAAATCTTTCACTCAGTTTTCTTTTCACCATTCGCACATCAACTTGCTTATTTCACTTGTAGTTGTTCCTGAAAAGGAAGGTCGCACATTTCAGAAACCCCCCTGTGTGTACAGGGTACATGGCCAAACTTCAGGAGGTGATTCTTTGAATGATTTTGAGATGAAAAGATTTTTATAAACATAGGTCCAGAAATGCTATATTTTCAAGGTACAGGGTGTCAAACTTTTTTCGAAAAATCTGTTTTTCCTAAATATTTTCTTAAACTTTCAGTCGATTTTGTTTGAATTTAGCAGTGGTATTAAGGCCAGTAAGGGGCTCATTTAGCCCCAATTAGATTGAAATTCCAGTGCCATCCCGAAAAACACCCTAACCAATATCATTGACAAAAAGCGCGCCACTGATTTTTTCAATTTCAATTTTTTTGGATTAACAACTTGTCTCCTGACTTTATTGCATGTCCCTGAGACAATAAAATAATAAAACATTAAAATCACCAACTAATTAAACAATTAACAAAATAACAACGTAATAATTATAACAGCAAAGTTTTAAAAGTAACTAAAATTAAAAGTGCGGTAAAAGGAAAATGAATTGCTACTCAAACAAATTTGGATTTGACTTAACTTACTTAAAGTAGTAAGTAATGATCGTAATCATTAATTATTATTAAAGTGTTTTTAAGAGTCTTGAGCTATAAAATTATACTAAGTGACATATAAATCCGAACACCCAGTTTAAATGGTTTTATTTTAATAAAATTTTGTATAAGTACTTAATGAAGCATAATAAGTAAATGATAAAAATTTCAAAATGATTGCACTGCTTTAAAGCCCTTTGACCTTTAATAATGTGTGGATGCACCCTGATGTGCTACGCATTCTCCAACGCGCCTAGGCATGCTTCTGATCAGGTGGTCAATGTCCTCCTGTGGTATCTCATTCCAGGCAACCACCAACTCCTCTCGAAGTGCTTCTAGAGTCTGAGGAGGACGTTGCAAATTGAGCAATCTCCTACCCATCATATCCCACACGTTCTCAATTGGGCATAAGTCGGGAGATTTTGGTGGCCATGGTAACAATGTGACATCATTATGTTGAAAGAAGTCTATTGTGACTCTTGCAACATGTGGTCGCGCATTATCTTCGTGCATGCCTAAACAAAATCGAGACTCGTCACTAAAGACAATACTGTTCCATACCTGATCCTAGAGTGACCGAGTTAAAGGGAGGACCCAGTGTGGCCGGTAGGAAAACAAGCCAAAACTTCTCATTCGTCGGTAAACACTTCGCATGCCAATAGGTCTTCCGTGTTCTGCAAACCATTCATTTGCAATGGACCTGGTAGTGGAGAAACGGTCCCTTAAGGCCAATAATCTCAGGCGGCGATCTTCAAGGTCTGTTGTTCTACGGCGGCGACCAGTGCCCCTTGCTCTTTGCGTACGGCCTTCTCGAAGCCATGCCTGACAACACCTAACCACAGTGTCTACACTTCTTTGCACTCTAACTGCAATTGCCCGAAAAGAAAGTCCAGCTTCCCGAAGTCCCACTTTACGGCCCCTATCAAACTCACTAAGTTGGCGAAATCGTACAGGTCTCCGTACTCTAGGCATCGTAACCGATCGTAAAGGATGCCAAGAACCAAAATCCGCCAACGTTGATTCTTTACTGCGGCTGAAATATTCATTTTTAGAGCGTTAGTGAATTAAAAAAAAGCAGTATAAAAACCGGAATGTCCAACTGATAAGGCTGAAAATTTTTTCACTTGTTATTTACAGTAAGATAAATACATTCACCAACTTTTATTAAAATAAAACCATTTAAACTGGGTGTTCGGATTTATATGTCACTTAGTATAGTTAACGCCAATTATCTAAATTTACAGTAAGTCATAGTACCATTGTTTTTGATGCAATTTTTGCCGGAAATTCTGATTGATTAATTTTTAAAGGTAAGAGTGCACTGGAGGCCAAACGAGGAAGGCAAATCAGGGTCTCATTTTTACGCCAAGTACAGGAAGAAGGGCGAACCAGAGTATCAAAAGACTGATCCAGAAACGCATGAAATGTTCCAAGACGTAGCACCTCTAGATAGCGCAGCTGTATATGATTTCATAGTTGCTTCCGTTGATGGTACTTTCGAAGAAGATAGTGATCCACAGGTATATTTGAAAATGTATCGATAACAGCGTAAGGTTTGAACACACTGTTTTGCTTTGAGACCATGTTTTATGGGAATCCCGGAACAAAATGAGGACTGCTAACATCTGTTTGTGTGTGTGGCATCATACCTCGCCAACCGATATACTAATTTGAGTCCGTTTTTTATTTCCCACGTCACTGACAAGGAAGTATTGTAATCGCGAACAATTTCGAAAATGAGATATTTTTGGATGTTACATCATGAATAATCATATCACTCATTTCTGTCGGTCTCTCTGTCTGTCCGCTAATCCTTGATTCTATAACTGGAAAAATATCTCTAGGATGCTGTTGAAATTTTGACCATGCCAGGGATGAAAAAGCTTTGTAGTTTTTGAATAGCGATCTAATAGCGGCCGAGCTACGTGTAAAAACGAAAAAAAAAATATCGGTTAAATGTTTTGAAGGGGAAAAATTGGGGAGTGGGTAGAATGTATCTCAATTTTTAACTGTGGGGGGCATGGCCTGTAGTTGGAGCCTGACTAATTGTATGGGCCTATCTGACTGACTTGGTCCATTGAACGTGGGAGTGAACAACCGTAAGTATGCCTGAGTTTGCCTAATCAGATGAAAAAATGATAAAAAAATGTTTAGAAAAAATGGCAACTATAGAGAAAAATAGCTCAAAGATCATCGTTTCCAACGGTGAATTCGTTTTGTCAAATAAATAAATCCTTGTGCCTGAAAAAATGTGGGAACCTTATTTTCGAAACAACCCTCGTATATTGCTAAATCTGTTTTTATGAAAATCGATGTTTTTAATTCCTAGCGCAAAATAATCATCAACGCGAGATTCACTCGAAGGTTGGAGGTGTTTTTTAATTTGCCTAGTAAATAACTTTGACATACATATTCTATTCCAATTGAATGCCTGTTAACTTACTGATCAAAAATGCATAAAATTTGCTGTAATACTGAATCTTGAATCTGCCCGACTTGCCTGCATTTTGAATGCGTTATTCTAAATTGCAGGAAGTGAGCACCTACGACATTGACGGTCCCATAATCAGAGCTAAAGAAAACGTAGCAACCGCTGGATGGTTCATTGGGATGATGTTGGCAATAGCGTTCCTCTTACTGGTATTGATCATCGTGTGCATATTCAAGAGGAATCGTGGAGGAAAATATGCCGTTCACGAACGAGAACAAGCGAATGGAAGGCATGACTACCCAGATGAAGGCGGGTTCCATGAGTACTCTCAACCGTAAGTGAGCTTAGTATACCTTTCCATTTCAGAAACAGCGTCGTTCAAAAGAGAAATTGAAAGAAAAATATTCACTATGGTCACTTGTGCTATGGTATTTTAAGCTGGGGAAAAATACCTATATAAAAGTTTCATGATAAAAGAAATAGAAGAAATATCAAAATTTAAAAAAAAGGATTTTATTACAAAGATTTTTCGATATTCTTGACCACTGCCACGTAAAATCTTATCTTTTTTTGTTTACACTCTTATCGTTTAAATTTGGCAAACTTTTTGTGTTATAGTATGGTTTTCAGTAAGAGTCTTTGGTTCGATCAGTTGTATCAGTCTTTTAGTATTGCGTATACTTTCATTTGCCTGATTATTTTATGCGGAAAAAATGTCCCATGTTTACGAAAACAATGAACTAGTATTAATAATATAATACTAACATACGGAGAGTGCCAACAAAATGTAGCCGCAGCATGCAGGTTGTATTCCTTCAAGAAATCATCCTGCCCCACGGATGTTTGTAAATTTAGTTATTAGACTTCGTGACACAGGATATTTAAGAGAACATCGAGGAGGTCACGCTGGAAGACCTGCTCAACTTAAAATCTTACAAATTGAGGAAAACATTTCAGAAATGGTCGAAGACGACCCAACAATGAGCAGCTCAAGTTGAACTTCCTCATAGTAAAGCGTGGAAGACAATACGACAAAAACAGTATTATCCTTATCATTATCAACGAGTACAAGCGTTATAACCTGAAGATCATCCTAGAAACGTTTCATTTTGCCAGTGGCTTTTAAAACAGTTCGGCAGAAATGAAGATTTTACTAAATTAATTTTGTGTACAGACGAGGCCACATTTATATGAAATTGAGTGCACAATTTCTACAACATCATGTTTGGGCAGTAGAAAATCCGCACGCTGTAAAAATAACTCATTTTCAACATAGATTTTCACGAAATGTTTGGGCTGGCGTGGCCAATGGCATGGTTATTGGACCCTACTTTTTCCACCTTAACTGACCGTTGAAATTTATTTAGATTTACTTCGACACAATCTGCCACAATTGTGTTCATGAACATCTAAATAATGAGTTTTCGAATAGATGGATAGGGCGCAATGAACCCATTTCTAGGCCTGCTCGCTCCCCGGATTCAACGCCTTGCGATTTTTTTCTGTGGGGCTATTTGAAAGAGTTGGTGTGTCATGATGGAGCAGTAAATACTCTGGAAGAACTTCAACAGCGCACTGGAAATGCTTGTGATTTATTTCGGGGTTACTAAGATTTTATTTTCGTTGCTTGTTAAGAGTCGGGGATTCGCCGAGCAAGCTTTTGATTGATTTTTTTTTATAATTTTTAATGTAAACTAACTCTCTTATTATGCAAATTTATATAGGTGATTTTTGGTATATCAAATTCTTTCTAAAATGTGTTAAAATGAATGACTCAACGTTGAAAACGCCCTGTATAGTTTTTCTTCTTCAGAAATAAGTTATTGGAATTATTGCAAATCTTAATTGGAGTGAATCTTGGAGGGATTATTTTCAATCCTTAAGAATTTTAACAGTAGCTTTGCATTTGTGCATAAAAATGGATCAACCTCTTCAATGACAAAGACGAACACGATTATGAAACTTGACCTAAACATCTGCTGATACCTCCTCAACATCGTATTACAGCATATCAGAAATCTTTGAGTTACATGGATTGTAAAATAATTTAAATGGAGATATTCAAAAAGCAGGTATAGGGCGGTATATTTTTCAGAAAAAAGTGTATTTTATAATACCTTCACAGCAGCCACCGCATCAGATTTTAGCGATTTGACCCTGAAGTAAAATGATTTATATTTTTTTTAAGTGACAACCAAGCGTCGGACGAAAGAAAATAAAGAGATCAAATTTGCTCAGAAATTTGAAGAGAAAGCATTTTTCCCCAAAAATGCTCAATGCAAAAACCATACGGACGCCACTGCGAGAAATAATAAAATTGTGCATCAAAAATGCGTCTTGATCCATAGAAGATATCTACCAAATTTCATAAAGTTATCTATAATAGCATCACGGTTATTATAAAATACAGATTTTTTTCTGTAAACATCACTGCTCTGTATCTTAAAGGTTAACACATTCAGGACATACGTTCATATGCTTTTTTTTTTCTTAAAATAGGTCCAAGAATATTAGCATATCCAGAACCGTTAACTGATTTGAAATAGTACTACTTATTTGTTGTTGAGTCCTTTGCCAAAGACAAAACGCTGGAAACCACTCAAATACTTAATGGCACTACTGTACTAACCCTATGCGTTGATCAAATAATGCAATAGATAACCAGTTTGTGCAAAAATTGACAGGGAGGATTCGCTAACACCATGAGGTGTTTTTGCACCGAGGAATGGAGTTTGATAGTAGCCTCTCAACATGTTTTACCTTCACTCAATGATCTTGAATTCACTTCCTGATTTAGGCAAGGTTTTAAAAATCCACATTGCGACCAACAAGAATATTTCAAAAAAATTCGATTTAGGTTCAAAACCTTGCACCACTTAGTACTTATGTTTTATCGTATTGGAAATAGAAAGTTGGTTGTTATTGAATAATTTTTGCTCCAGATTGGATAACAAGTCTCATGGAAGAACTTCAATGAGTAGCGAGCCGAAAATTGGGCCAGAAAGTGATACAGACTCTATGGCAGAGTATGGAGAAGGTGATACAGGTAATTAAAACATTATTTTATATGATACTTATAAGTTATAAGTTTAGACTTGGCTGACTACACAGACCCAAAAAGAAAGCCCTAACAAGAAGAGCACAATTTACAATTTTTCAGGGCATATCAGTTAGATTCAAAATAATTCGATATTTTTTTCACTTTGTATCAACATTTTTATTTACTATTGAAGCACCAAAAACTAAATTAAAACTGTTCGTTTGAAAAAATACACTTGCAGTTTCTTTTGAAAACGTTCTTGCAAATACATGGTGCGAAAAAACGTTCATTCCCTATGGTCTGTGTTTTCATTTTACCTGAATGTTGGGTTTTTTTGGTTTAATATTTTTTATAGGTTCTTATAGGAATGTGTACTCACGAGGTCGGTAAATTAAGTGATGGGACTGAATTATTTTTAATTTTTGTATTCAAATATAAGTTCAATTTTGTATTGTCTCCCTCAAAATAAAGCCACGCAGCGCCGGATACGGCAATACCTTTCAGCTGGTCGGTTACAGCCGTTTGAATGTTTTCGACTGTCCCAAAATGAGATCCCTTGACGTGATTTTCGAATGGGGGAGAGAAAACAATCACAGGGATGAAAATCAGGCGAATAGTGAGACTGAGGTGCCACAGGAATATTTTTTACTGGCCCAGAACTCGTTAATTGACATTGATGTGAACATGAACGATTGTCAACCGAAGATCTGAACGCAGCACAAGATCCCGGATTCTGACGATATTTTCAACGGTTCTTGAAGAAGAAGGCCTTTCAACTCTTGGTTCAAACACTATCTCCGTTGGCCTGCTGAAGTTTAGCAAGAGTGTCCGTTGCACTGTACTCAAGTCTGAAGCAAAACCTGATAGCATACTGTTGCTTAAAATTGATGTCACTCAACCGATTGACTCTAGCGAGTTCAAACTTGTACTGAAGGCGGATCACATGTTCCCCTGTCTCCTAACAAAGCCCGCCGCCTCCAGTGCTGCCAGATCGAACGCTACGTTGCCAGTCTCATCACTTGATTTACATACCTCGTATAGTCGAAGATCCCAGGGCTACCCGATATCACTTATATTGTGAAAGACAAAATGTGGGGTATTGAATAGCGTTTATACAGTATGTTGGGTTTACATTCTGGTGTTTGTTTATTTTAAAAGTACGCGGTGAAAAGTAACCATTGTGTATCAAATTTTGTAATCAGTTACATACTTCGGATCCAGTAGAGTATTGATTAACGGATAAGTACAATATTGCCACCTTTACCGCCATGTCATCATTCTTCATCGGACTGTCGTGAAGCGTCCATCGTGCAAGAGTCGGGTAATCATTTCAGCGATTTTTCCTCCTTGACCTTTGAGGTAAGGAGTCATTCCGCGTAAATATATAGTCCACTTATTCATACAGAAAATTTGGTGGCATAGAGCCGATTTACCATACACGGAAAAATATTTACTTTTGCTATGTATTCTTCGCTGCTGCCATATTATCCATCTATTGCATTTTCAATGTAAGTGTTGTCAAAAATACCAGGTAAACACAACATTCACTGAATCACAAGACTTTCCAAAAAACGGGAGCAAACCACCAGCAAAGTGATAGCCAAAGTAATATGACCTGACACTTTTAACAACAACTTCTCAACTACGATGCTTCTACCTACTGTAATCGGTCGATAGTTCTATCATATGAAAGTTTTAAAAACTGTAGGCAACTATGCTCTCCTTACTTGGAAAACATGCCGCTCACTACCGGGTGATTCATAAGTACCTGACAAAATATTTTTTAAATGGTATATACTTTTTTATCCATCGCTCATTCTAAAGAAAAATATATATAGTTTATTCACTAAAACAAAGCAGTTGCGTCATATTTAGTAAATGTGCAAAATAGATCCTAAATTGGTACGTATAGTTTGAATTTCCCGGGTACATTTATGTTGGTAACAGTGAATAAACTATACACACCATAAATCAGAACGAGCGACGAATAAAAAAATATTCGTGCTTAGTTTTACTGATGAATATTGTTTCGTAAAATTAAGTTGAGAAGTCGTTGTCAGAAGTGCCAGGTTTGATTGCGTTGATTCTTACTTTGCTGGTAGTTTGCTCTTGTTTTTTTCCCGCGACAAAGACCCGGAAATTTTTGTGATTGAGTGAATGTTGTGTTGCCTGGTGTTTTTAACATTAAAAATGGACTGAGAATATAGCGACAGCGAAAAATATATGGCAAAAGGAAATATTCTTCCGTTCATTGTAAATAATGATAGCCTTCTTTCATTACAAATTTATTTTGATTACATAAATAACTATACTAAGTGACATATAAATCCGAACACCCAGTTTAAATGGTTTTATTTTAATAAAATTTTGTAGTACTTAATGAAGCATAATAAGTAAATGATAAAAATTTCAAAATGATTGCACTGCTTTAAAGCCCTTTGACCTTTAATAATGTGTGGATGCACCCTGATGTGCTATGCATTCTCCTACGCGCCTAGGCATGCTTCTGATCAGATGGTCAATGTCCTCCTGTGGTATCTCATTCCAGGCAACCACCAACTCCTCTCGAAGTGCTTCTAGAGTCTGAGGAGGACGTTGCAAATTGAGCAATATCCTACCCATCATATCCCACAGGTGCTCAATTGGGGATAAGTCGTGAGATATTGGTGGCCATGGTAACAATGCGACATCATTATGTTAAAAGAAGTCTATTGTGACTCTTGCAACATGTGGTCGCGCATTATCTTGTTGGAAAGTTGTATCTGCCAGGGTGTCAAGATAGGGTAAAAGATGGGGTTCTAGAACTTCGTGGATATAACGCTGCGCGTTCATGTTACCTCTGATGAAGATTGAAGGTGACCTGGAACCATAAGCTATAGCACCCCAAACCATAACTCCAACAGTGTGATGAACATGTCTTTCAACAAAAAACTGTGGATTCCTCCTTTCACCACGTCGCCTCAGCTGATTGCTAACTAAGCTGTACTGCTAGTACCACAGAACATCCCTAGGATGGGAGCGAGGCAGAGTCGGAATGGCTTATATAGAGTTTTTCGGCACTTAATATCTCGGTTATCTTAAGGCTTTAGTATATGTATTACTACGAAAACTTACTTAGCCTGACCTATATGTTCTGTCAAGTCTCAACTTTGAGTACACCCTGTATATGTGTTTTGTAAAACATAATTAATGTGTTTTTTAAAACATAATTAATGTGTTTTTTAAAACATAATTAATGTGTTTTGTAAAACATAATTACAAATTAATATACTCAGTGACATTAGAAGTGTTACACCCAGAAAAATAATTTCTTCAACTTATTTTTTTTGGCAACATATTTTTAGCATGCTGTGGCAACAATTTCAAGGATTTATCTTTTTTGTTTACCTTTGTTAAAATGTTATCTCTTAGTTTTTGTGAAGAAAGCGGTATCTGAGAGCTGGGTAGAATAGATATTTTTAGTTATTGCCTTTCATTCACTAGTGTTAAGCATAACAAAATGCCTCCAGTTCGAAGACGTCCAAATTATCACCATGTTAGCGACTTTGACAGGGGTAAAATTATTGCCTATCGAGAGGTTGGTTTGTCCTATCGCAAAATTGGCCGCTGTGATTGTACTGCAATGTTGGTAATGCGTGTGTGTCGTGTGTGGATAGAAGGTAGAGGAACAAGAAGAAAGCCAACTGGTCCAACCAGGCGTACCAGAGAGCGTCAAGATAGGCGCGTCAGACAGCCGTACGAGACCGTTTTGCTACTATGCGTCAGATCGCTGACCAATGGTTTGGAGAAAAAGGGTGACCTGTTACTATGCGTAAACTCTATCTCCGCATTCGAGCCTTTGGCTTTTTTCATACCCTTCACAGTTAGTGCTTGCTCTGACTGCGGACTACTGTCGTCAACGTTAGAATTGGAGCAGAGATAGGCAAGTTCGAGTTGTTTGGAATGAGGTGCCACAACCAGACATCGATCATCTCATTTTGTCGATGCCTAGGCGTATACAGGATTGTATTCAGCTGCGGGGTCGCCCAACACATTTTTTTTCTTATTACTTGTTAACAAAATTTCGTGAGAACGTTATCCTTTTATTCTTTTGCCAAAAAAATCAGGTGTAACACTTCCCATGTCAGTAAGTATATTTAGCATTTTCAGGCACTCCCGCCGGGTATAACTGCTGGAGTGCTGAATGTTTGCAACAAATCTTTTTAATGGTGTATTACAAAGTATTTATGAAAATCAGAACCTGACTTAGCAGGGATGCAGGCATTGAAATAATATATAACCGCTACTCAATGCCCAATGTTTTCTCTTTCAGCCCTGGGATTTCACGCTATTATGTATTTTTAGTATGTTGATACCTAACACAGCCATTCTGATTTGTTCAAGCAAGTTAGATTTTTTATTTTGGTATTGACACTCTCGCGATTTGGATTGACTTTGATTTCGTTTTGTTTTTGTTTTTTTTAAAAGAGGGTATGAATGAAGACGGGTCATTTATCGGACAATATGGACGTAAACGGGGTCGAGGAGAGACAACATCCCAAGGATTTGCAACACTGGTTTAACCTGTAAGGATTTTGTATTAACAGTGTTTCGTTGCTTTTCTAACACAAAAAGGGCTTGGTGGCGGATTTCATAAAGAAAATTATAACGCAATATGTATTCTATTAACATGTATTGGTCAATATTAACATCTCTAGATCAAGAGTGAAGAGTTAATTTGGAATATACAAGTTAAACATATGTAGTTAGGATTGAGACAGATCTTTTTGCATCGATGAACCTTCAGAGTTGAAGTGTGAGACGTCTAATGTTTCAGATACTACAGTAATAAATAGTGAATATCCTTGTTGTTTATCTTATTCCAGAGTTTTTATGTGTGGGTTTGAAACGTACTGATTTGATGTACTTGCCACCCCTTCCAGCTATCCAACTAAAAATTTGGGAAATCTGGAAATTGTTACGACTAGCACATAGCAATTTTTAGTTGCCTCACAATCTAGTTATATTTAGCACAAGCAACGTTTTGTTCGTACTGTCATTTCATTTGCGCACTGTTTCACTCTTTCATGTACACAATGTTTTTTGTGTGTGATTATCTTTCATCTGGCCTTTACACAAATGCAAGCAACTGGTATTTGTAAGAATCACTGCGTCATTACCTACTTTCAATCATATCGTACTCGTTTTTTTTTGTCAAGTTGCATGACTAACATTCACGTGCGCTATACAACGTGTAAATATTTCTAGGCATAAAGTAGATAACAAAGTAAAACGAAAAGCTCATATTAGGATGGGTTTCTAACTTCATCCTTACCAGGATACAGGGTGTTGAAATTATTATTTTGAAATGGAAATATATATATATCTTCAGAGCGGATTGAGATGTCGACTTGAAATTTTGTGTGTGTAGTGTAGACAATACTAAAAAAATTGTGCCTGAGACTACACAAGTGGAAATTGTGCAATTTTGATCCTTATTTATTACAACCCTATATCTTGGTAATGGGAGATTTCCGGACCTATGTCTATTGGAACTTGTTTATTGTGTTTGGATATACTTTCTGCTCTAGAAGTACGTTTTTCTGAATCACACTGTATATTATAAGATCTTATATTAAAATGTGACTTTGAAATAACTCCTATATGTTTCATTGTTGGTTATTAGTTAATCCTTAACTGCACAGCTTTCATTATTCTATTCACTACTAATTCTGGGATCTCTCTATTATCTAAAGTATATCAAGGGCGACGGTCATGCGCTTTAAGGATTTTCGTAGGTAATTCCATGATTCAAGCCTTTCTATTCAGTTTTATACAGAATGTTTCCGAAACATGAGGCAAAATTTCAAGGGGTCTTTCTTCATACTATTTTAAGACTATTTTGTATCTCGAAAACGGAGCAGTAAAAAAATCATCGCAGAAGAAAATAGTCTTAAAATATGTTGCCTTCTACAATCTCGACACGCTAGGGACAAAGGAGCGGTCGTACTGGCTAGCCCTTGAAGTGCACTGACCATTGCTTTTCACCGTTATATTGTGTATCTTGGATTGAAACTTTTTGTTTTTCATGGAAGGTCAATTCACGGAAGAGGGATCTTTCATCGGGCAGTATGTGCCTAGTAATATGAAGCAGCTAGGAATGTCTACAGGTATGCAGGGAACAAACAATAATCCAATGGGCACCTATGTTTAAAATCATATTGTCAATGTGTATAGCTTTCTATGTTGTGTTTTACTCGATAGACATTACAATTATTTATACTTGTTAAACTTTTTGCTATTTAAGAATGTGTTCTTTATTTGCTAAAGGATTTTTTATAAATTCGTCCTTTATCGATAAGTTCTATCAATAATCAAAATAATATACAAAGTATGCTATAAGTAGAATAGGTTGTTTCTATAACTATTAATTAATTAATTAATTATTTTTTTATTTTGTTGAATAAAACTTACTGGCTATGGTTTATACAAAGTGATTTGTTATGTAGGGTATCACAAGCTTACATCAACTTATATTGATTAGATTCTGGTGCCACACCATATGGATCTGTTCGGGTAAAAATACTGAGAATAGGCAACAATGTTTTTTTTTTGTTAAAAGTCTTCACATAAGCGGTTACCTCTAGATTTTTGAATATTTGATCGATACATGATTTAAGATATGATTATCGGTTTATTTTCGGTAGCTATATAATTTTTTTACATTTAGGGCGATTACCACTAGTAATAATAAGGGACATATTGAAATTTATCAGCAGATATTTTTTTTGGGGCAGCTATACCATATGAGTTCAAAATTTATTTTTAGACATGTCCAGCTTACATATATTATTTACATCCATTGATAAAAACGGAACATGTTTTCGCAAGGGAGCTAAGAGGTATCTTTTTTAATTCTCAACATTTGAACAAGTATTCCACTCAATACAACAACATACATTGCATAAAAAATCACCTTGTACGTGTAGATGTCTTCTGTAAATTATTATTACTCAGCTCTCTCTTTTATATTAAACTCGACGTCAAATTTATTGTCTGGCTTGGAGCCTGCTTCTAATGGTCTCTAGCACAAGCTGATGTATTGGTACTATTTTATATAATTTACCTGTTAGATTGGGAACAACCTGCTCATTACTTAACACGTTATCACAAATTGGAATAGCAATGGGCTCAACTCGCCAAGTCATATGCTCAGTAGGATCCGAAGTCCTTTGTTTTATATACCACTTTACTTAATACTTAACCGGAAACTTGCCATACTGAAGCCAGATGTTACCTGAACATTTGTTCTTTATAAATTTTGTGTGGGGATACTATATTCTTGTGTTTCCATTCAACATTGAAATACTTTCTCGTTATTCTTAGTGGCAATTGCGATATTTGTGATAATATGTAGATTGATGGTATTTTGATTTGAGAGTTTGTTCCCACAGTATATCTCTAGATTTTTTGATGTAAATTTTGATATTCGTAGTAGATAGCACTCTTCTTTCATATCTCTTCACACGTCTAGGTTTTGTCTTAGGGATAATTTTACATAAAACTATATATGTATGGGTATGTATACATCAATGAGTGCTTTTAATATCATCGCGAATGTATTAGAAACAGCTTGGAGAGCTTAAGTACGATGTTAATATTTTTATATTTTTTTACTGACACTGCCTCATTTATCAGATATGATTTTGTATTTGAAATAGCAGTTTAAGGTTTTTTGTTTATTATTGTTAGTAAAAACTTTCGTTCGATAAACATTGTTTTTCGATTAGATCGTCATGACATATACTAAGAGATCTTCGAGTTATATTTTTGTATGTTGAAAAAAAATAAGAAAGTGTTACTCCTATCTGTTTGCTTTAATGTTTAGCTTTATCTATATTCTAATTGGCTATACACTGAGCATTAGTTTGAAATCGGAAATTTATCAAATGTTTATTCACTATATTAAGTTACTTTACATAAAGCAGGATATAATACAGGGCATTACTTAATGAAAATTTGTATCATTTGATCTTCACTTCTCGCAGCAATACATACGTAATTACTGATTGTCCAGAAGGTAAGTCCAAAAAAAATCTCAACATACATCACTCGCACATGGCGGACGTAAGTTTAAAGTGTGCATTCAAATTCCTTCTGCTAAACACCACAAAGAAAAAATGCAAATTGTTGTTTCCATTGTTTCAAAAATACTGCGATTCTGACACCAAGCAACATAGAATTCAAATGGTTTTGCATCACTTATACAACGTTTTTGCTAATGCATTTTGATTATCCTACGATTTCAGTTTGGTAGAGTGGAGGTACACTTTGATTCTATGTTCCTGATATGTGCGATGATATCTAGCTAAAACTGATTGCTAAAATATGAGTTAAAATGTGTTATAGCAACTGTAAGATCTGATCTCACGCTTGTGTAAAACAAACTGTTATTCTTTTTTATTTACAAATAATAAACGTCATTTTGAACATCGTCTATGTTGTTGTATATGGCAGTAATATAACTATTTTTCTTTATTTTTTTGTTTATTTCTTTGTTTTCCATTATTCTTTCTGAAGTAGGTTTACTCCTTATAAAATTGCATGCGTTAATTCTTGGAAAGTGAATTTTGGTTTCAAATTTTTGTTAGTTGCAACTTATTTACTGCAACTCTATTCTACTTACCTTGCACAGTTATCTACAAAAAGTAGAGATAAATATACTAAGTGACATATAAATCCGAACACCCAGTTTAAATGGTTTTATTTTAATAAAACTTTGTATAAGTACTTAATGAAGCATAATAAGTAAATGATAAAAATTTCAAAATGATTGCACTGCTTTAAAGCCCTTTGACCTTTAATAATGTGTGAATGCACCCTGATGTGCTACGCATTCTCCAACGCGCCTAGGCATGCTTCTGATCAGGTGGTCAATGTCCTCCTGTGGTATCTCATTCCAGGCAACCACCAACTCCTCTCGAAGTGCTTCTAGAGTCTGAGGAGGACGTTGCAAATTGACCAATCTCCTACCCATCATATCCCACACGTGCTCAATTGGGGATAAGTCGGGAGATCTTGGTGGCCATGGTAACAATGTGACATCATTATGTTGAAAGAAGTCTATTGTGACTCTTGCAACATGTGGTCGGGCATTATCTTGTTGGAAAGTTGGATCTGCCAGGGTGTCAAGATAGGGTAAAAGATGGGGTTCTAGAACTTCGTGGATATAACGCTGCGCGTTCATGTTACCTCTGATGAAGATTAAAGGTGACCTGGAACCAAAAGCTATAGCACCCCAAACCGTAACTCCAACAGTGTGATGAACATGTCTTTCAACAAAAAACTGGATTCCTCCTTTCACCACGTCGCCTTCTAACCCTGGCACGACCATCGTGCATGCCTAAACAAAATCGAGACTCCTCGTTACTAAAGACAATACTGTTCCATTCCTGATCCCAGAGTGACCGTTGTCTGCACCACTCAAGGCGAGTACGTTGGTGTTCTCGAGTTAAAGGGAGGACCCAGTGTGGCCGGTATGAAAACAAGCCGAAACTTCTCATTCGTCGGTAAACACTTCGCATGCCAATAGGTCTTCCGTGTTCTGCAAACCATTCATTTGCAATGGACCTGGTAGTGGAGAAACGGTCCCTTAAGGCCAATAATCTGAGGCGGCGATCTTCACGGTCTGTTGTTCTACGGCGGCGTCCAGTGCCGCTTGCTCTTTGCGTACGACCTTCTCGAAGCCATGCCTGACAACACCTAACCACAGTGTCTACACTTCTTTGCACTCTAACTGCAATTGCCCGAAAAGAAAGTCCAGCTTCCCGAAGTCCCACTATACGGCCCCTATCAAACTCACTAAGTTGACGAAATCGTACAGGTCTCCGTACTCAAGGCATCGTAACCGATCGTAAAGGATGTCAAGAACCAAAATCCGCCAACGTTGATTCTTTACTGCGGCTGAAATATTCATTTTTAGAGCGTTAGTGAATTAAAAAAAAGCAGTATAAAAACCGGAATGTCTAACTGATAAGGCTTAACATTTTTTCACTTGTTATTTACAGTAAGATAAATACATTCACCAACTTTTATTAAAATAAAACCATTTTGAACTGGGTGTTCGGATTTATATGTCACTTAGTATATTAATGACGTACAATATAACTAACTACTGGTTTCAATGGACTTTATTGGGACTCACAGTCACATATATACTTATTAAAAACTGACAATTATTAAAAAATCAATAATTGTGTTACATCTGTTAATATTTGTTTAATCATTGACTTGCTCAAATCTAAAGCATGCCATCAAGTGGAAACGATATTACATATATATTACACAACTTAACGATTACATGCTTAGAGGGCATTTTTTAAGGAATAAATGCGGACCAACAAAAATATCCTAAAACTATATTTACAACACGATTTCCTTCATTTTACTCTTTAGGTGCAATCTTCTGTAATTTTTTTTGCATAAAATCACGAAGTCAAATCTCTTCAGCTCGGCATTATATGCTCTATAATCAGGTACAATAGTTATTATTTTGTACGAATAATGAAATTCCAATGTTTTGAGCACCTCTGTTTTATTTTGGTGCTCTTTATGGGGAAGATGAAATACCATGAACAGGGCGAATCTTTGGGTCGATTGGGGACTTACAGAGCGGGATGTGTCAGCGATTTGAAATTGAAGAACGGGGGGGAACTGTATCGGTGCTTCTGAGGCACAAAAGAATTAATATTGGTGAATGTATTGTGTATTTTTCTTGTGACCCGCTGATAGATCCGCCACTGACCATAAATGTATGTTTTACCAACTTGACGTTTCTTGGGAGATTGTTCGTCAAAGTTATACGGTTGTTATCGGTACTACTACAATTTTTTTTTGTAAAAGTCAAGTCAAAAGTTTCTGTTTTCCATTTTTGAGTGTTGTGATATGGAATTTAGCAATGATGAGTACGCCGATATTATTTCTGTGTACGGGTTCTGTGATGGAAATGCTTTAGCGGCTCTTCGGGAGCATCAACGTAGATTTCCTAACAGACGACAACCTACCCCAAAGGTCTTTACGCGTTCATTTCTAAGACCAAACTTCCGGTAGTTAGAGGCCATGGTGTCCGGCATACTGTTCAAGAGGAACTGGAAGTCATAAATTTGGCGTTGGATGATCCTGGTACAAGTACTAGGCGGATTTTAGCCCAGTTACCATGTTCACAAAGTCTCGCGTGGAGAATTTTAAGTCGGGAAGTTTTACATTCTTACCATCGGCAAAATGTGCAACGTCTGCAACCCGGCGACGAAGTGCAACACTGTGGTAACATTTTAAACCTTGCATTTGTATATTCAGATTTTGTTACTTACGTTATGTTTTTGTTATATACATAAATATATGTATTTGTATTTTTGAATAACGTTTTTGTATGAAAATGTTATGGAGATTGCAATGTTAGAGAATGTAATAAAAAATACAAAGAAGTATAGTCATTCCTAACGGGAAGCGGATAGATCAGCGCGACATAAAATGTTGATTTAGAACGGGAAGTGGATAAATCAGCAAGCGGCGTTTTCCCCGTAAGGACAGACAGATTTCGTAACAAGATCCTTATTCGTTGCGGAAATGGTTAAAATACTATCTACAGTTTATTATGGGAATGCAAAAAACTACTCTTATAGATGCATACGGTTCGATAGGTGCTATTTAAGGCTAACAAAACGAATGGTTCTCAAATATTCCTTAAAATCTGACCAACCTAGCTTCGAATTCTACGTATATCTGACGAGATCAACTGCTACTAAACCGCTCTGAGCTTATCCGCACTCTGAAGCAGTTTACATCTGATCTTTTCAGTCTCTTTCGGAGATTCACAGCTTCTTGCTATGACTTGCACAGATTTTTTTTTTGACATAATACTGATATTTTGTTTGGTGTTACAATAAACGCAAAAGCTGAACAACAATTTGTTACATATCGAAATGACTAGCTGATCTGTGGAAAATTGAAGTCTTCATCAACACTGGATTCTTGACTTGATGATGGAGTATCAAGTTGTGGAAGACCTAAGTCCAGGTATTCCTCGTTTGCTGTTATCGTTAGAATTCTATCCAAGTCCTCAACAAGCTCAGAAAATACCGGACGCTCGTTTGGCTGGTAACTCCAACATTCTCTCATCAACATGTAGATTTCTAGCGAACAACAAGGTGGTTTTTCCATTCTGTGGCCGTTCCTGAGAAGTTGGAATAACTTCTCTACACTCGGCACTGATGGATATGGGGTACCTAAAACAGGATTACTAATTTTATAATTTCACTCGATAGATAGAGCTACTTATGCTGGTAGGTGCATCCATAAAACAATGGGTAGATTAATAGAAATATATTTGTAACAGTGAAATAGTGACCAATTCATTGGCATATGTACAAGGTTTGTTTTCAGATATCACGATCCAGAATATTGTGATACCCACCTCCTAAAGTCATAATTTCCCATAGAAGAATTCCGTATGACCAAACATCGGATTGTGTTGTGTAAACTCGGTGGAAAAGAGCTTCTGGAGCCATCCATTTCACTGGTAGCCTTCCGTCCGTTGTTTTCCTGTAGTAGTCGTTACAGTGTATGTCTCTAGCTAACCCAAAATCGGCTATTTTCAAAATGTAGTCATCACTAACTAGTACGTTTCTTGCTGCGAGGTCTCTGTGTATACACTAAAAAAATAATGTGAAGACCATCAGAAAATATAGATTATAAACTTTTATTACTGGTTAAAAGTTGGATCAACTAGGGGTAGGAATATTGTAAGTTTTGACCAATGATCACACCATGTGCGTATACGTTTTCTTAACTAGAGTTCTAGGTGCTCGATGAACTGTCGGCTACCTTAAACTATCCCCCCTGTCTAACCCTTAGCTGTATGACTTGTACTACACAATCTAAGATACCAATTTCTTTGGTCTCCCTGCGTGCTGCTGTCATTCAAGTATTCTCGAGGCCTTGACTGTAATGTACAGACATTTAACTATTTTTTCGAAAATGAGACATGGTTTTTGGATGTTGCATGATATGTACATAACGAAAAACCCTGTTACTCATTTCCGTCTGTCTGTTTGTCAGTCCGCTAACCCTTGACTTGAAAAGTGCCGGTTGGGTTTGGATGAAATGTTGCCAATAACAAAACAATCAAAAAACAAAAAAAAGAAAAACCGCTCAAGCTGAATTTTTTGATGTTTCAGAGGCACTTACTCAGTTTCAAAAAATTTGTAGGGGTTAAATATTGGTTGTAGGGTAAAATTTTTGGCGTTTGTATATGTAGATACATATATTTCCAACCTCGGTAATTCTATGCACCTATTAGATACAACTGACACATCGTATGTGTCTACGTACATTTGCCCTTGGAACTAAAAGTGAGCCTGTTTGACTAACTTGATGCATTTAGTCATGTTCATTTCTAACTTTTTTTCTCAAAGAGCTGAACATAATCGTTTATCACAGAGTTGTGTCGAAAGCACAGACTCAACCTACTTGATGCCATTTTCATTGGAAAGGCTGCACGTGAGTACTATTTTAAAAAGTAATTTTTTGCTTACTCGACGAGATGCCAAATACTCCATCCCTCTAGCAACTTGGTAAGCAAATGAAACTAAATCCTTTTGCGTCAAAGTTTTCTTCTCTTTTTTCTCCCCAACAGCTAGTTCATAGCCGGACGAAGGTCTATGTTGCCTTAAGAAGTCTCTCAGATTACCATAAGGTGCATATTCTACAACGACATACAGTGGTCCTCCTTGTGTGCAACATCCTAACAGATTTATTATATTTATGTGCTTTCCTATCATTTTCATCATCTCCATTTCTGACACCAGATCCATCATTTCGTTATCTGTGTGACCCTCTGAAAAAATAAATACAAATATTAAGTATTCGTCTAATCACTACAGTAGATTTAGCATTTATTGACCGGGCCTTTGATGCTAAACTATGGGAATGCATGATCATTTCTGAACTAATAATGGTATGATTGGAGTTTTGCCCAGTAATCTAATGCAGGCGTCGGGTTTGACCTTGACCATGGCCGTGCATGAAAAGAGAGGGAAAGTTTGCGTTCAAATGTGGTCTGATCCTTTCCTAAATTTTGACCTTAGGAAGTCATGGACAAGGTCACACTCAGGTACGTTGATATAACCTAAAAACCAGTAGTCGTTCAGGGAAACTATCGAGACATTACTTTAGTAGCCTCGGATATGACCTTGGCAATAACCTACGAGGTCATTTGAAGGTCATCTCTTTTTTTAATGGGACGCTTCACTTCTGACCGGGGAAATTGAGAAAAAAGAAAATGTCATGATCGAATATGTCCTCCTAAATAGTTAACTTGACCTTGGAGTTTACCATCAAGGTCAAATACAAGTATACCTTAATTTCTTGATAAGTCAGAAAACTGATGTGTAATCCCCAGATAAACTGACTTAACTGTTTTTTCAAGATTGTTCTCAGGCTTACAACAATCGACCTGACCTTCACATTACCTTGAAGGTCATCATTGTTGAGGTCAGATCCAAGGTCGCCATTGAATATCCAGGGAAAAATTATGCAAATAATTTCTCGGTACTTTCGCTATACACCTACTAGTTTTTAAGCCATATCACCGAACCTGGGTTTGACTTTGACCATGACCTCCTATTTAAGAATGATCAAGACCATACTTAAACGTAAATTTTTTCGCTCTTTTCATGCACGAGGTCAAACATTGGGGGTTACATTTAAAAAAATTGAATTGTCCTTCAAATAACCTTGAAGGTCATGGTCCAGGTCAAATCCAAGGCCATCGTTAGATAGATGGCGAAAAGTCCAATCAATCGCGGGGCTTAGTATTTTCATACTTGTACAGTGCTGAACAACGTGGTCTTCGTTTATAGATTTACATGTGTACGAGAGAGAGAAGCATGTTAGAAAGAGTGCGCCATCACGTTGCCTGGAAACGACGTGCTCTAAAATGCAAAACGACTTTGGCCAGCACTGTAGATAAAGATGCCTCAAACCACAAATTCGATAAGGGCCAAAAAGGCTAAAAAAATCGGAATTAAGCATGGCGTCAAGCAAAGATGTGTAATCTCCCTAATGCTGTTCAACATACTCGAAGTCTTGGACCATGCCGATGACACATCTGCCTACTATTATATGAACGAAATGGTCCTACACTGGCACCCGCAAGGACACAGAAATAGAGACAAAGGCCGTTTTACTTATATTTGCCTCAAATACCGCGACCAGCATTTCGCTACCATATTTTGTGGATTACGGGCTCGTGGGATACTATATGGAGTATACTTTCGGGACAACACCCCCTACCGAGCGGGGCCGTGGCAAATGCTTGTTCCGGAAGTTAATGTATTCAGTATACAACTTCTTTTCGTTCAAGTGATTGTGCACGCGTTAAGGAATACATCAGCACCGATTACTGGGTGGCGGAACAAGTCCGCCAAAAAAACTCGTTATCTTAGCTTATTTTATCTATAGTCGTTGGACCATCAAAAAATTATGAATATTCGTATTATCTATTCCGATATACCTTTTAACATTTTTACTGCTACAGTGCTGGTTTGTCCAGGCTTCAGTAGATTCATTGCTTCGGCTTTCACCACTTTTCCAAAAGCACCTTCTCCAAGATTTTTGCCCAATACCAGCATGTTCCTTGGTATCTCCCAATCTGAATCCATTGGAAGTTCATATTCCGAAATCATGCCTTCTCCTGAAGCGTAGGCATTCGACTTTTGTTTTTCGATTTTCACTACTGGCATGAGCTGAAATAATAAGAATATTAAAGAAGCTACTCGCTTAAGATTGTTAAATGGACCAACATTTTCCAATGAATACATTAGACTAAACCAAACTTTACATTGTAAAAATACCTAGTCTCTAGCCTAGTCTATTATAAAATTGTGACAGCCCATAAACCCTTATTTGCTTTCAGTTTAAGCCTACTCCAAGGAACCTCTCCATTGTATCTCCAGGTATCTAGCTCTAGCAGGAATTGCAAAGTAATGTGTACCCTTCAAACTGCTTAATACGGTTTCGTCGCAAAACCAGTTATTAACTAATGACTACTGCCTATAAACTACCTCTCTTCTGGGTTAAGTTTCTAGTAGAAAAACAAAACACTTTCTACTTTACACACTTTACAAACTTTTGAATCCATTATCCACCTTTATTCCAGCCCAGTCGAAAAACCCTAGCTTAGTTTGCTGTCTGTTTTCGGAAATTATTGATTCATGACTGGGGGCATTTTTATATATCTGCCCTTAGCCCCCCTTATCCAGCCCTGTCGCAGCATCCGTTCTTGCTGACATGCCCTGCACATAAAATACCTCCCTGCTAAATTTCATATGCTTACAACACATAGTTTCAACATACTTCGTGAAGAAAATGATAGTCTATAGCCAGCCAGAGAGGTGGAAGGTAGGGGGCGCGGTGAGCGGCTTTCCTTCGCTGCGTCCGCGCTTTGAACTTGTGGGTTTGGTGTGATACGAGGGTACTACGAGTAGAATTTACTTCGCCGAGACCTTTACATAATTAGGATCGAACGTCACTCACAGGTAAGTTCGTTTGATCACGCAATTAACATGACCATTCAGATGAAAGTTTGATTCCTCATTGAACAGTATGTTTTTAGAATTGTTGAATCGCGGCAGCATTTCGTTCGCAAAATTCAATCGATTAGCATAGTCCGTATCCTTCAATCGACGAATCAATTGCATTTTACAGGCACTCAAATGCAAATCGTTCTTTGAAATCAAATGCAAGGAAGATTTTTTGATGTGAATGATTCGTTTCGCTTTTGACGAACTGACGCCTGCACTTCTCCGATCGTTTCCTCGTCGAGGACTGAACGAGGGCGACCAAAGTTGAATTTTTACGGTCATCCAGATCTATTTTCTAATGCTATCGTCACTTGGTACATGGCGTGTATTTTTCCGAGTCGATGCCGAATTGCAGAGAAAACGGCCCCATTTGGCGAAGAAAAAAGTGCTCTTCTACTATGACAACGCGCCGGCTCACACCTCCACCCTCGCCACGGTCAAATTGGCCGAATTAGACTACAAACGGCTGCCTCATCCACCGTATGCTCCAGATTTGGCCCCGTGTGACGTCTTCTCGTTTCCAAACTTGAGAAAGTCACTCACCGGGCAGAAATTTGAGTCGAGTGAGGAGGCTATCGCCGCCACGGAGGCCTACTTTGCAAAATGTATTTTTCAGACGAGGAATAAATCGCCACTTTTCCTAAATTTTCGTTTTTCTTTTGTAGGCTAAGTACTTATCGGGCCGCCCTCGTACATTCAAACTTACATACAAACCTTCACATTTATAATATCAGTAGGGACAGTATGGATTGACCATCAATTAATTTGAGTAGTGTTAAAAGTTATTTACCAATGGCTCTGACACGTTTTCTGATGCACTAGTAATTTTTTCTATTATCACCTTCTTAGTCCATTGGGTAACGATTGCTGCCCTTGCTGTTTCCACTGCTATCATTTTTTCTCTCTTCTCGCTAGAAATCAGAATATATTGTATAGATCAACCCTATTCAGCTATCATTATATTCCGGATGAACTTGTGCTTCGTTAAGTCGGTAATACTTTACTAATTATTATATCGATCGATTCTGAATTTTTTACCTACCGTTTTATTTTTTGACGATAGTGTATACATATACACGATATGAGGAAACCAACAAATACTAACACAACACCTATAACTATTACGATCATCCAAATTTTCTTTGGCTCTTCTTTTGTTGGATCTGAAACCATAAAGTTAATACACTGAGTCACAAAAAAGGTAAACACCTATGTATGTTTATTAGAATTCAAGAATTTTTGTTCGTGTTGATTTATCTTCCCATGAACAGCAAGTCATAAAATGGTAAGGAACAGTAAAATCGGATAAACATACGTAGCTGTTTACCTTTTTTTGTCACGCAGTGTAGTTCAATTATTTGGTGCTCAAATTAGATGTATAAATCAAATAGATGGTGTTCCACGAACTGCCGTGATCGATTGCTCAAAATTTAGGGTCACTGAGAAAACGCGGTCAATTAAAAACTTTGCATTACCTATAACAAGCTTTGAAATTATTTTAACTAAATTATTTTGTTAAATTGGATTTTCTGGAACCAGTTTAATTGAAAGTAAAATTTTGTTAAGCTAATTTGCTTGGATATAGCAAACCAAGTACCATTTTTAAAAACTGTTCAATTGGTTTATCGAATTTAGTTTATGTAGAAAAAGTACATTTAAATCAATTAAAGTTTTTAATAAAAATAGTTGAACTGTTTATTTGGGTCGCGGACTCGGCCCTTCATTCGTGAGTGATCGGGAGTGCCGGTGATGCGCTCAGTTTCATTTGTGATTTTCGCGAGGAGCCTCATATTAGAATGTTGTCTTTGCTGGTGTAGTAGCTATAGATAGAAAGACAAAATAGATTACAGCAGGGTTGCCTTTGCCAGCAAACATGTCAATTTCAATAGTGTCTATTTATGCATATATGCATAGAAAGCCTGCTCTGTAAATACTTGAGATTTGTTCTAACAACCAGTTCCAAACTAGTTCAGAACTAATTCCGAACTAGTTTTCTGCGGATGCCCGAGATAAGCACAGTTCAGAAATAGTTCCGAAATATTTTGTTGGAACAGAGAATTGCATGGCTTGTTGTCGTAAACATTATCTCAATTGAAGTATAATTTAGAAGTTTCCGTATGTAAGACGTGGAATTTGAGATAATTTGTTGCTTTCTGAGGAAGTGTACATGTTTTTAAAAAATTGGAAAAATGAGATGGTAGGTTTAACAAGAGATGAGTAACTTGGTCAGATATTTTAAAGAAATAGTACGAGGTTTAAACTGGTTTTGTTGTTATAACTGTGCTTTCTTAAGTTTAATTTATGAGTATTTACGTTGGACTGATGAGGATTAGTTACCCTTTCAAACTTACGTAATGTATTCAATTTCAAATCTTCCTATTTTTAAGATCCCTGATGAGTTATTTCAGTTATTTGCTTCGACGAGTTGTTCTTACAGCAATTTATAATATGATTTAAATCACGAATAACATTGACAAAATCAATTAACTTCAATCATTTGATCCAAATCGTCGCAACCCTGCTGGTAGCGTAAGTATCTTCGGTTATCTTTCATCGTATGGAATGACGATGAATATCAACTTGGCAAACTATTGGCAGGTGGAGATCGTCAGATTTTTTTCTTTCTAAAGCACATTATTTTGAGACTACACCTACTTAGAACTACTAGACCTATATCGCACTGATGAATTGCTAATGACCACGAGACAGCGCTGTCTGTGGTTGGACGTAGTTACTGAAACGGAAAGCAAACATGTCCATTTCAATATTGGTTTTCTCTTGCTATGCGCCCCAGGATATGAAAGTGCTCGGCCAATAATGGCACACTTCTCCTCCTAGTTATGTAATGTACTATTTCATATATCTCACCTGTAGGTTCTTCATCCACGACTGTCAAATACGCTCTTGATATAGTAGTGCCAAGAGCATTCGATGCTAGGCAAGCATACCAGCCCTCATGTTCGTGGGTAACATTGACTATCTCGAATATTTCTGGATTTATATTTCCATCGTCACTTTTCTGTTGGAGAGAAAATTGACTATAGGGCGTCCCAAAAGTTATGGAGCAAGCGGGTCTTCATCCGACTGTGCACGGTTTTTGAGTTATCGCCATTTTTAAGAATTTGTGTGTACTTTTGAGACTGTACTATTTTTTCTGAAGTTGTCTTTCGTTATTTTTCAATCAGATTTACAGGATATGTTCCCGAATGACGTGTCGCTAGAAAAAATTTATGAGTGCAAATTTTGTGTGTTGATAAAAGTATTACAGCATATTCAACGAGGCTTGCACAAAAAATTTGTAGACGGATAAAGTATCCATAGTGATGAAAAACTTCTCAAAGCTATGCCCTTTCAAAATACTTATACATAATCAAACATCTTAAATAGTTTCTGCGCAAAATAGGCAAAATGCTGCAGTTACCCTAAATCCGAAAATTCACATTTTTTAAACTTAACTGCCATTGTTGGTCTTCCTTCCAAATAGGATACGCAAACACTCATGTGATAATAGATTTTCAAATCCGAATGAATTCTAGGTCAAGCCATTCTGAGGGATGGCGGACTTGACAGTATTTTGGGTGTTAAAGCCTTATGTAATTGAAATACACATAATCTCTCTGATAGTTCAAATGGGCTATTCACTAGCCAAGCCCATAAGCTGACTCCGAAGTTGTGTTGGTTGTTCGTGGATTCTCTATAGCCCAGTGATGTAAGTTATGAATGTTATAAATTGCTGTTCTTTGAAAATGAGCTAATTAGGTATTTGATTATTTAATAAATTAGAAAATTTTTTAATTTGATTATCTAATAAGTATATAGAAGAGCTATAGTATCTTGAACTTTTTCATCGCTATGGGTACTTTACTACTATTTTTTTTGTACAGGACTACTTGACATGTAATCTTTTTGATAATTGCCGTTAAGCCGATTGCTGTATCTACATTAACCGGACTAAATTTTCATTCATAACTGTTTTCCAGTGACACACCATTGGCAAACATATCCTGTAGACCCTGATTGAAAAATAACAAAAGACAACTTCAGAAGAAATAGCACAGTCTCAAAATTAGCGAGTTTCCACGAATTCTTAAAAGTGGCGTTAACTCAAAAACCGTGCATACTCGGATAAAGACATATATGGTTTTTCTGATTGCAAGTGACCCCCTATCAACCTCAACCGTTTGTTCCATGACTTTTGGGTCACCCTACAGATTTGAAACAAATATAAATTAACAACATACAATCATGCTCTGAATATTAGCTACGAGAGCGATGTAAAATCGACAAAGAAAAAGCTGCTATCACTATAGATTAACTTATTCTACCTGAAGACAACCAACCATATGCTCTATTCCAGCGCTGAAAAACGGATCTGACATAAGATATAGCCAGAAAGGGATTACAGATCTTAGCGTCATCTATGATAGAGTAGCAAAACTAAATACTCTAACCCTTTTCAAAGTAGATTTCTGAGTTCAGTTTTGTGTTCTGCCACTAACTCATCAAATATACTAAGTGACATATAAATCCGAACACCCAGTTTAAATGGTTTTATTTTAATAAAATTTTGTATAAGTACTTAATGAAGCATAATAAGTAAATGATAAAAATTTCAAAATGATTGCACGGCTTTAAAGCCCTTTGACCTTTAATAATGTGTGGATGCACCCTGATGTGCTACGCATTCTCCAACGTGCCTAGGCATGCTTCTGATAAGGTGGTCAATGTCCTCCTATGGTATCTCATACCAGGCAACCACCAACTCCTCTCGAAGTGCTTCTAGAGTCTGAGGAGGACGTTGCAAATTGAGCAATCTCCTACCCATCATATCACGTGCTCAATTGGGGATAAGTCGGGAGATCTAGGTGGCCATGGTAACAATGTCACATCATTATGTTGAACGAAGTCTATTGTGACTCTTGCAACATGTGGTCGGGCATTATCTTGTTGGAAAGTTGGATCTGCCAGGGTGTCAAGATAGGGTAAAAGCTGGGGTTCTAGAACTTCGTGGATATAACGCTGCGCGTTCATGTTACCTCTGATGAAGATTAAAGGTGACCTGGAACCATAAGCTATAGCACCCCAAATCATAACTCCAACAGTGTGATGAACATGTCTTTCAACAAAAAACTGTGGATTCCTCCTTTCACCACGTCGCCTTCTTACCCTGGCACGACCATCGTGCATGCGTGCAAAATCGAGACTCGTCACTAAAGACAATACTATTCCATTCCTGATCCCAGAGTGACCATTGCTTGCACCACTCAAGGCGATTACGTCGGCGTTCTCGAGTTAAAGGGAGGACCCAGTGTGGCCGGTATGAAAACAAGCCAAAACTTCTCATTCGTCGGTAAACACTTCGCATGCCAATAGGTCTTCCGTGTTCTGCAAACCATTCATTTGCAATGGACCTGGTAGTGGAGAAACGGCCCCTTAAGGCCAATAATCTTAGGCGGCGATCTTCACGGTCTGTTGTTCTACGGCGGCGTCCAGTGCCCCTTGCTCTTTGCGTACGGCCTTCTCGAAGCCATGCCTGACAACACCTAACCACAGTGTCTACACTTCTTTGCACTCTAACTGCGATTGCCCGAAAAGAAAGTCCAGCTTCCCGAAGTCCCACTATACGGCCCCTATCAAACTCACTAAGTTGACGAAATCGTACAGGTCTCCGTACTCTAGGCATCGTAACCGATCGTAAAGGATGTCAAGAACCAAAATCCGCCATCGTTGATTCTTTACTGCGGCTGAAATATTCATTTTTAGAGCGTTAGTGAATTAAAAAAAAGCAGTATAAAAACCGGAATGTCCAACTGATAAGGCTGAAAATTTTTTCACTTGTTATTTACAGTAAGATAAATACATTCACCAACTTTTATTAAAATAAAACCATTTAAACTGGGTGTTCGGATTTATATGTCACTTAGTATATTTAACTAAATGTATTTAAATGTGCAAAATCCCAATACAGCGACCCTATGAAAAACAAACTTGGTGACGGACGTCATAAAAAGAAACCTGGAATTGAAATGTTGACTACGCCATCTTGCAATCATGCATCATGCAATTGAATTTATTTTAAAATCGCGTAACAAATAAAGTCAGGGAAAAATGAAAATGATTTGGCGATAAATCTCGTATCCGAAACAAAATTGATAATCTCAAGGCCTACTTTTTTAAGATAACTGAGGTTTGACACTGTCAATGTATGACACGTTGTACATTTTTGGAGTCAGAATTGAAAACTCTATTCATCTGTGCAAAAATCCAATATGGCGTCGTTAAGAAGAAATAAAGTTAATGCTGCACGACAATAAGTGAAACGTCATATTGACAATCTGCCATCTTGTTGAGGAGAAAAAGTGCAATTTATTTTAAAATCTCACCACAAAGTCAGGAGAAAATAAAAAAGATTTTGGGAAAATTCGGTCTTTTCCGACTCTCCAGAAGAACTTTAAATTTTTGGAACTTTCTAAGCGACATTCTGTTAGTTCCCAAATACGCAACGTGGCGCACATTTAAGCGACATCGTATCTCTTGCCGTCTCCGAGATCCCAAAGGTGAGGGTTGAATTTAACACACCAGGCATATAGTAAATAGAAAAACAGATGTGTCAAATTTAGATAGATGACGCTACGATATCTCATGTTAGTCCAGATACTTTTGTGGATCCGCGAAAATAGCATCAGGTTGACTATCCTCAGGTGGAATATGTGAACAATGGTTATAAGTATGTTCAGAACGATGACTTCCGTAAAATTTAGAGCTCTGATCAATTCCTAAACAGGGTAGCGCAAAATGAACGTTAGATAATTTGATTTAAAGCAACACACAAGAAACAACAAATTAAAGTCCAGGGTATGTACCAGAAATTAGTTTTTTTTATATCGAAGCAGCCGCGCAGGCAGAAGCCTAAATGCCGGAACACAGCGGCTGCTATGATGATCCCAAAGAAATTTTGTTAATACGATTTTTGAACTGCATAAGGTTAATAGAACTGGGAAAAGCTTCGCCTTGTAGATTGTTCCACAATCTCGACACCCTCGGGACAAAGGAGCGGTCGTATCGGTCAGTTCTGGATGTACGAAGTTCGACACGGTTAGGCAGCACCCCACACGTGTGAGCAATACTCGGGGCTAGGCCTTGTATAGAGTGAGAAGGTCATGCGTAGAAAAGTACTTCTTAGCCCTAAACAAAAGCCCACCCTCCACCCGGACATTCCGAGAGTGGAGTGAGTTTACGTTCGGAGTCCACCACCTTTTTACGTGTTAGTGATATTAAATAGACCTAAAGTGGCCCGTTGGCGGACTTGTACCGCCACCCGGCAATCGGTACTGAGGTATTCCTTAACGCGTGTACAATCACTTGAACGGGAAGAAGTTGTATACTGGATGCAACAACTTCCGGAACAAGCATTTGCCACGGCCCCGCTCAGTAGGGTTCAAGTCACCCCTGTCCAAACTTTAGGCAAGAAAGCACAGTACGGAACCTTCGTAGTGCTGGAAGGGGACACAAAGTACTGAGGGTGATATTTTGGAAAGTTTATGTGAGAGTTTAGTACTGTTTCTAAAATGTTATATAGCATATGAATCATGTCAATTTTGCGCGACCCTGTCCTTTTATATCTTACCTATACCTATCCGATTCATAACTAAAATTACAGAAGTATATTTGATACTTCCTGTCTTTCAGACAAGTCTGGATATCGTATTTGGAGCTTAGTGTATGTCTACCAAAATTTTAACCAAATTTAAAAATAATTTCTGCGTAAACAATAATAGTGAAAGTACCTGAACCACCTTAGGATTAGCATCTAATTCAAATCTTGGCCTAGTCCACACTATATAGGGATGCAAGTCAGACACAAACTTACATTCTAACGAAATATTGGAACCGACTGTTATTGTGGTATTTTCAAGGCCTGTTGTTAAAATCGGTGTGTTGTGATATCTCTCTAGAAAGGAAAGTAAAAGAGAACCGTCACCACATAGAAACATTTACAATAAACGATGATTTGAGAAAAATGAGAAACACCATCACCTAAAAGTTATTTACAAAAGCACCCTCACCTTTCAATACAAAATATACAGGGTGTGGTCGTACCAACTAATCAGTTACAAAGAGGTATATACTGACATAGAAAAAAAATACCTGTAATAGTGAATTTATTACAAAAATTCCTGTATACATGTCTGTCAGATAGGTAAGTAATTTTCAGAAAGGTCCAACCGTAGAAAAAATGTTAAAGATTGGTAATGTGATGGGCCACTACTCCGATTCTAGCTGCGGAATCGGTTCCTTAGATTCGTTCACAATTCCGACTCCGGTCTCGGGATCGACTTTTTCGATTTATTTACGATTCCGATTCCAGTCTCGGACTTAATTCGTTCACGATTCCGATTCCTACCAAGGGATCGATTGCTTCGATTCGTTCACGTTTCCTATTCCGTCCTCGGGATCGATTTTTTTGATTCGTTCACGCTTCCTATTCCGGCCTCAGAATCGATTTCTTAGAATTGGTTCAAGATTCCGATTGTGGCCTTGGAAACGATTCCTCCGAGTCGTTCACGATTCCAACGCCGACCTCGGAATCTATTTTTTCGATACGTCTAAGATTCCGATTTAGGCCTCCGGATCCATTCATTCGATTCGTTCAAGACTCCGATTGCGGCCTCGGAAACGAGTCCTTCGATTCGTTAACGATTCCGATCCCAGCCTCGGAATCTATTCTTTCGAATCGTTCAAGATTCCGATTGTGGCCTCGGAAACGATTTATTCGATTCGTTCGTCATTCTAATCCGGGTTTGGAATCGTTTCCTTCGATTCGTTCACGAATCCGGCCTCGCAATCAATTCCTAAGATTCGCTCTCGATTCCTATTCCGGACTCCGGATCGATTTTTTCGATTCGTTTGCGATTCCGATTCCGGCCTAGGCATCGATTCTTTCGAATCGTTCAAGATTCCGATTGTAGCCTCGGAAACGATTTCTTCGATTCGTTCGTCATTCTCATTCGTTCACGATTCCTATTCCGGAATGCGGATCGATTTTTTCGATTCGTTTACCATTCCGATTCTGGGTTCGAAATCGGCTCGTTCGATTCGTTAACAATTTTGATTCAGGCCTCGGGATCGATTACCTCAATTCGGAATTAATTCCTCCGATTCGTTCACGATTCCGATTCCTACCTCGGGATCGATTGCTTCGATTCGTTCACGTTTCCTATTCCGTCCTCGGGATCGATTTTTTTGATTCGTTTACGATTCCGATTCCGGCCTCAGAATCGATTTCTTAGAATTGGTTCAAGATTCCGATTGTGGCCTTGGAAACGATTCCTCCGAGTCGTTCACGATTCCAACGCCGACCTCGGAATCTATTTTTTCGATACGTCTAAGATTCCGATTTAGGCCTCCGGATCGATTCATTCGATTCGTTCAAGACTCCGATTGCGGCCTCGGAAACGAGTCCTTCGATTCGTTAACGATTCCGATCCCAGCCTCGGAATCTATTCTTCCGAATCGTTCAAGATTCCGATTGTGGCCTCGGAAACGATTTATTCGATTTGTTCGTCATTCTAATCCGGGTTTGGAATCGTTACCTTCGATTCGTTCACGAATCCGGCCTCGCAATCAATTCCTAAGATTCGCTCTCGATTCCTATTCCGGACTCCGGATCGATTTTTTCGATTCGTTTGCGATTCCGATTCCGGCCTAGGCATCGATTCTTTCGAATCGTTCAAGATTCCGATTGTAGCCTCGGAAACGATTTCTTCGATTCATTCGTCATTCTCATTCGTTCACGATTCCTATTCCGGAATGCGGATCGATTTTTTCGATTCGTTTGCGATTCCGATTCCGGCCTAGGCATCGATTCTTTCGAATCGTTCAAGATTCCGATTGTAGCCTCGGAAACGATTTATTCGATTCGTTCGTCAGTCTCATTCGTTCACGATTCCTATTCCGGAATGCGGATCGATTTTTTCGATTCGTTTACCATTCCGATTCTGGGTTCGGAATCGGCTCGTTCGATTCGTTAACAATTTTGATTCAGGCCTCGGGATCGATTACTTCAATTCGCTCCCGATTCCACTTCCGGCCTCCGAATCGATACCTGCCATTAGTTTACAATTAATATTAACTAAGCGCTTTTTCCTTTAGATACTTCCAGAGAAAGGGAGTCACAGTTGCTCAAATCTGGTGACGACGCAGGCGAGACATCACCTTTCAACGAGACTAAAAACGTTTCATTCAAAACATTCATTGAATGTGGGGTTGTTGTACGACAAGTCTTCTAATCCTAAACAAAACTTGAAGGTTTCGTTGAGGAAGAGGGATTAGGGAATGGAGCTACAACTCATACAGCCCAACCTATAATGAATATTTTGAGATAAATGTTACCAGGGCCAGGACTCGTTGAAAGGTGATTTGTGGTAGAGCTGGACCAAATCGTTCCTTTTGGTGATTCGATCCCATGGTTTCAATTCCGGCCTCAGAATCGATTCGTTTACGATGCTGATTCTGGCGGTGGAATCGGTTATTTCGATTTGTTCATGATTCTGACTGTGGCCTCGGAATCGATTCATTCGATACGTTCACAATTCCAATTCCGGGTTCGGAATCGATTTCTTCCATTAGTTCAAAATTCTTATTCATCAAGCGCTTTTTCCTTTATACAGGTTGACTTCGAAGTTGAGTCATTTATTTTAACAGTGAGTAGATCTGATCAAAAGAAATGTTTTTTCCTTTACCATTTTTCTGGTAAAATTAAAGTAACAAAGGTATAGCCCTTTGGAAGTTTGAGTACCGCCCTGTCTCAATAATAATATTATGTGCTCGTGTTTGGCGACAACGGATATAATCCGCCTTATCGGTTCATCGCATCGGAAACAAAAAAGCGAAAGAATTTGGAACGATGTTTTTACAATTATTTCATTCAGTTGTATACAGTCAGTGTCAGACGGTAGTGAATAGTGGTGTCTGTTGCGTGGCTCAAACGAAATAAAAAATGGCACATGTTTATGCGGACCGGTTTCCCAATCGAGTGCAACCAACCCCTCGTGCCTTTGTTAATGTAGTACAACGGGTTCGTGAATCAGGTGACTCAAGACCTCACATATGGACGGCATGCCGGTGCTCCAAGACCTCACGATCAAATACAGGTCCGCACTGAAATACTTGTCGGGAGGATACTTTATAAAACAAGGTAAAGTTTTTTTTTAATTTTTTTTTATTTTTACACACATATTTTGGTTTATCTTCCTTCTACAATCATTATCTGAAAATTAATGACTCAACTTCAAAGTATATTCCCAGAGAAAGGAGCCACAGATGTTCAAATCTGGTGACGGCGCATCACCGCGAGACTGAAAACATTTCTCTCAAAACATTCATTGAATGTTGGGCTGCGTGGACTCTCCACACCACAAGCCTTCTAACCCTAACCAGCATTGGAAGATTTCATTGAGGAAGAGGGTGTAGAGGATGTAGCTACAGCTCACACAGCCCAGCATATTTTGAGGTAACTATTACCAAGAGCAGGACGTCTCGTCACGTTGGAAGGTGATGTGTGGTAGAGCTGGGTCAAATTGTTTATTTTGGTGATTCGATTCCATGGTTTCAATCGACTCGTTCACGATTCCGATTCAGGCATCGAAATCGGTTCCTTCGATTCGTTCAAGATTCCGATTCCTGCTTCGGAATCGATTATTTTCAAAACCTGATAAATGTAAAATGGTATAAACTGCTCATCTAAAGTAAAACATTGTTTTCTATACATAGATCTAGATGACGCTTTTATAACTCTTTGAAACTGATTAGTCGGTTCTGTCGCATCCTGTATAATTACATGTAGATATGGAATAGTATTTAGGAAGCGTCAAAAAGCCGCTGTGTTCCTATCTTTCCATAAAACATGAGTAAGCAGTATATCATGATAGTGGAATATATCGAATTTTTCGTAATTGAGACACATACAGTTCGACAGGTTTATATTACGTTGTGTAGTTACTCATTGTCAGAAAGAAGTGCTACAGAAAGTGTGTAAGAAACAAGCCGAACTCCAACGTGTTTGCACCACCACCACCTTGGTCACCAAAACCTTTTGAGCTGAAACTAGTACTACAGTATGCATGTGTTGCGTCATATCAGTGTAAAACATCGAAACATCCACAATAACGAAGTTTGGTCCATTAAATACAAAATATAACAATTAATCTTATTAATAACAGCTTATTGAAAAAAATTGTAACAAATTCTTTGGTTTGAGATGGGTTTATCCTGAAAATTAACAATCTTGTCCATTTTTATTTGATTTTATTGGTCCATGATCAGGTTCCTTGATCTTTTGAATGGTAATAAGTCCAAAGTCCTCTATGGCACTGAAGTCTCTTGGGCTATTGTACCTCCTCGAACAGTACCCATTCCAACAGTCCAGTGTTTTGTACCAGTTGATACAGTTTGCCTACCGGTACTGTTCAAAACTCATTCGGTTCTAATTTTGGGTTCACGAAGAGCTGATGTCTTTTGTGATCCAGCGCCATGCACTCACATAAGACATGTAGGGATGATTTTCTTACTTTCCTTCATTGCCTGCAGGTCTCCATCAAACAATCCTATTTTGCGCAGGTGTTTTTTCAGGTCATTACGTCCTGTTAGAAGGCATGTAACAGCATCACGCAGCATTTGCCATACTTTAGTCTTGGAGACTTGCACTTGTCTAGCAATTTCCCTAGTGCTTATTGAAGAATATAACTACGTTATCTTGGGAACAACTTGGTGACCAAGTGTCTCTCAAGACGTCATCGCGGTAACGTAATGCTAGGAGCCATATACCTACTATGGGGTTGTCCAAAATGGACGCAGGAAAGTAAACTCATATTAAAACAAGAAAGATTGATATTCAAATCAAGTTGGGTACTTTATTTTGAAGGTTCATTTATACCATTTATGTATGAAAAATAATATCGCTCAAATGTTCACCACGACTGGATTTACAGACGCGATGGTCGAAATTTTCAATGACATTTTGCAACATGGTCGGTACTATGGCATTTATCTCGGCAATGACGTTGTTTTTGAGTTCTTGGAGGGTGGCTGGTTTGTTGACGTAGACTTTGCTTTTCAAATATCCCCATAAAAAGAAGTCCAAGGGAGTCAAATCGCACGATCTTGGTGGCATGGCACATTTCCTCTGCGCGAAATCACGCGATCACCGAAGAACGACTGCAATCGATGGATATTGACGTTGGTTGTGTGGCATGTTGCACCGTCTTGTTGGAAATAAACATCGTCCATATCCATTCCTTCAAGTTGCGGCAAAAAATAGTCCTCTATCATCACGTGATATCGCTCAGAATTGACGGTAACGGCGTCCCCGGCCGCATTTTCGAAAAAGTAAGGTCCGATGATGCCTTTTGACCACAATGCACACCACACAGTCGCTTTTTGAGGATGCATCGGCTGCTCTTGATACTCACGGGGATTTTCGTTCGCGAAGATGCGGCAGTTTTGCTTGTTTACCGTCCCATTCAAAGTGAAATGCGCTTCGTCGCTGAACATGATTTTTGATGAAAAATTGGCATCAATTTGGCGGTGTTCAAGGAGCCAATCTGAGAACGTTCGGCGCGAAAAATGGTCGGCCCGACGCAGCTCTTGCGTCAATTGGATCTTGTAGGCGTGTACAGTCAAATCCTTGTGGAGAATGCGGAGCAAACTGGTTCTCGAAATGCCCAATTCTTGGGATCAACGCGTTGTTGATTGTTTCCGGATCGTCTCTCACACTCTCCTTCACAACAGCAATATTTTCCGGTGTGCGAACGCTCCTTGGCCGGCCAGAGCCTGGCAGATTTGCCACAGAACCTGTTGCCTCGAATTTACGCACCAGACGACCGATGGTTGTTTCGTTTGGGCGGTTGTTGCGACCGAAATGTTCACGAAGCGCGCGAAACGTGTTTTTTATTTTTGCACCATTTTTGTAGTGCTCTTGAATAACTTTAATGCGGTCTTCAATCGAATACGACTCCATAGCGATCAATGGTAAACATTCAACTAACAAAATGACATGTCGGTGACAGAAAACAAAGATGGCGTCTATGTCAAATTGACGTTTACTTTCCTGCGTCCCTATTGGACAGCCCTTTATAACATTTTCAAATGATTCTTTTCGTTTGACAGGGCAGGTAAAAATATGCCTAAGAACCTCATCTTTGAACTAGAAATAAAGATATCCATAAAGATTTAAATCAGTGATAAGATTTTGACAATAAAGCAAATTTCCAGAAAATTCGTGTATGTGATGTTTTCCTTGTTTTCACTGACGACTATGATGCAAAGTAAATGCTAATGATATTGCTACCAGAAGCCTCAATAAATGTAGTACTAGTTCAGTGAGATAACATGTGGTACCTGTTTGATTTCAACTTTTTCATAGTTGATGTTAGCCTCGTTGATGTCTTCAGAATTGTTAAAGCGAACCCATTGGATCCAGGGCTCTAAGTCAGCTATGATTTGAGGACATTCAAATACCGCTGTTGTATTTATTAAAACGGTCAAATTTTGTGGATAACCATCTTTTATATAAGGTCTTGATGGGAAACGCTCTGTTCAAAAAGAAAAAAAAAGGCTGCCTTAAGTAGTAAAATTATGCATTTCAAAAGCTTTGGTGTTTCCTATTGAATAGAATTTTGAAGATTTCGTTCAAAATGTTCGAACATTTCTTACGAGATTGGAATAAAAAATATATTGTGTTTGGAAATCTGATTAGAAACTTTCTTCACACGTACTAAAACATGCAAAATTGTAACATGTGATACATTAATAAGTCAACAATTTTGTGTAATTTGTAATAATAAGCCCTCAAAAATATGATTAATTAAAAAGATAAGTCAATAATAGTTTTTCGGTTTTAACCATTAATATCAGTATAAACTGTTAAGGTTATTCGATATTCCAACCGTTTAACCCTCAAATACAAGAGTTCCTTTAGCATGGGTTTCACCAACATTATAATTAGACAGTCACACTAATCAGAAAATATCTTATCGAAACGCAATTTGATGGAAGCTGTCAAAGCTGTCAAAACATCAGTAATTTCTATTGACATTTTGGGTAAAGTCGTGGTTGTTTTATAAATGAAGGTACATTCTGAATGTACTATGTCTTTAAGCTTTAAAATTGAGATAACTTTCATAGAATTGACTGACTCTTTTTTAAATCACCAATGAGAATGAAAGAAATAATAGGACGCTTTTTTTGGCTATGATATTTAATAGGGTGTTTTATCTTTTTTGGACGGCTGTCACAATGCATGGCAATCTAGTTTTATTTCTATAAACTGGTTTATTTGTGAATGACACAGTTTCCATTATCTCCTGAAAAATTGAGAATGTGTGCCTTATGAGGTTCATGAACTAACTGACTGAATTATAGTAGCCTCCTGATACATTTCTGACAATCTTATTTGTAATGATTGAGAATAAATTGAGTGCTTGGTATCAAAAGGCGCATGGGCAATTTCAAGTTAGTGAAAAAGACCTGGAAATCACTTACCAACAATATCCACCACAAACGTGAAATTGATGCATCCTACAACATTGCATACCACGCAGGTATAATTTCCTTTATCATTTGGGACAGAATCTTCTAGCGTGAGCGACCAATGGTTGGTCTTGATTTCACCGAATCCTCTTTTCGGGGGAGATATGTCGTCTTTGGACCATGTTATATTCGGTAAAGGCGTACCTCCAGCCTTACAGTTGAGTCTGACCATGTAACCAGCAGGTTTTACTACTAGCTTTTGCATTTTCTTGTAAAAGTACGGTGGTTCCAATACAGTTAGGTTGTACGATTTTACAAGTTCTCCGTTTTCGTAGCAACCATATACGCCTCGATCTTCTAGGGTCACTGGTCGGATTTCTAACATTTCGCTGTTGTTCTATAGAAAAATTATACAAATAAATGTACATGTAAATAATAGAAACGTTTCTTTCAATGAAAATTTGGACTCTGCATGGTACGGATAATCTATGGATGTTATTGTGCGTATTACATATTATATAAGTCTGAGACGTTGTTCGAGTAAGGACATTCAATTTAATACACTTTGGATCACTCAGTTGCATTTATTTCAGCAATTATTGACTTGATGCGTAACTAAACTGAATCCAAATTCAAGATGAGATGTAAATAATAACAGTTAGCGCGTGATCTCTCAGTAACAGGTGGGGACAACGCCTCTTATTGGTCAATTCGCCATTAAATTTCAAGCGGTCGCCTGGCGGAATAATGCGCGGGGCAGGGGCAGGACAGGCAGTGTTGCATTCAGGCCACCGACCGTCGCGTGTATCACTGCGTGCTCGTGTTTTCGTATTCACCTTGATTGGTTGTTGCTATTGTTGTTGTTAAGTGTATTTGAGTAATTTGTTAAGTTTCTGTTTGTTATTGTTATTCCTCGTTATTATTTGTTTTGAACCAATCCTGAACATGTCCAGTACAGATACTGCTGACGAGGCTGTAGGCTACTCCCTTAGCCCTCCTAGAAAGCGATAAAAAAGACATCTTAGCGTAGACATGAAAGACGTCATATTGAATACATTCAAGATAGAGCGGAAGGAAGACGAAACATCAACTAACCCGAAAATAGCTCTGAAAGTGGCAGATAAAATTGGGGTATGCCAAGCGACAGTGTACAATGTTTTGAACGAACATAAGAAAAAGCATGCCTTTTCCAAGCCATTGACATGTAAAAATCGCAAAAGTATCATAAGATCGTTGGATGACGCTGACAAGCATGCGATTCGGAGGAAAGTGCACGAGTTCTTCTTCAGAAACGAAATACCGACAGTTGATAAAGTACTTCGGGAGGGTAACGAGGATGCTATGTTACCAAATTTCAAACGTTCGACTATTCATAAACTTCTGAAGCATCTTAATTTCGAATGGAAGAAACGAGGTCGTAACAACTTACTTATGGATAGAGAAGAAATTGTTCTCTGGAGGAGAGAGTACCTCACCAAAATTAAATCATTCAGGGATCAGCACAGGAAGATCTATTACCTGGACGAAACCTGGATTAACGGTAGGCACACTACTCCGAAGGTATGGGTTGACAAAACTGTGACTTCATCCAGAAGGGCATTTCTAGATGGACTGTCGACCGGATTGAAAAATCCAGCAGGTAAATATAATATCTCTCTATCTTCGTACCTACAAGACGTGCATGTGTACTTAGCGGAATTTATCTTTCTAGGCAAAGGAAAAAGGCTCATTATTTGCCACATTGGGGGTGTAGATGGCTTCGTGGATGACGGCTTATGGTCTTTTGAGTCAAAAAAAAATACTGACTACCATGAAGAGATGAATGGGGAAGCATTCGAGAAGTGGTTTTCAGGCATTTTACCACGTCTCGAAGACAATTCTGTGGTTGTTTTGGATAATGCTCCCTATCATTCTCGCAAAATAGAAAAAATCCCAACTTCAGCTTCTAGGAAATCAGGCATTCAGTGCTTCCTTACTGAAATTACAACTATTAGATATTGTGAAACAACACAGACCAAGACATGATAAATATGTCATAGATGAAATGGCCAAAGCACACCACAAAACAGTACTCCGTTTGCCGCCTTACCACTGTGAGCTCAACCCCATTGAGCTCATATGGGCAGATGTTAAGAATATTGTTGCTGCACACAATACAACACTAAAATTTTCTGACATGCAAGAGCTGTTCAGAATTGCTATACAGAGGGTCACACCAGAAAGATGGCAAAAATGTGTGCAGCATGTTCAGGAGAAAGTGGAGGTAGCAATGTGGGAGCTGGATAACATAATTGAGAGAGATTTTGAATCCATCATCATAAACATTAATGACGATAGCTCTTCAAGTGAGTCTGAGTAAGTTTCGCGTTTTTGTTTTGTCACATATGTGGGAATCCTAGTTATAGTGAAATATTAACTTACAGATAAACTACAGACAATGCAAGTCCGAAGTGCACCTTCAAAATCTATTTTCAATTAATTGAACAGCCTTATATTTATTCCATGTACAAAAGTGTCATCTCTACCCCTCGTTGACTACGGATTCATTGTGCATAGTGAGCAGCTGGTTACCTCTGGTATGTAGTTCTCCATGTTGTCTAGTTTGAAAAATCTGTAGAAAAACTTAGCACCCCTTCAAGAATAAAAATTTGATTTTGCGACACCCTTAACTATAACTACTTCACTATATTAGATAATTTCGTTAAATACTGTCATCTTTGTTTTACAACACGTTGGTGGTAGTCCATCATTCGGAGGTAGCCCTGAATGCGGCCCTGCACGCCGTCCTTTTGGCAATCACGCATCCATTCTATCTTGGGTGTAAATACACTATAGAGTTTTTATTTTGAGGGATGGTCAAGCTGATCACGTCTAACAATGGCAAGTTGACGTTTATTAACATTTGCATGGCCATTTATAAATGATAACTGATGCACGTTCCTGTTATAGTAAGTATTATTCCAATTTTACTTTAGTAAGCATTAAAACTTACTGCATAAAAAAGCATCTACCCACTATCCTAAAGAGTACTGCTAGTCTAATAGGAGTGTAAACAGCAAACGGCTATATTTATAGGTGTGGCAGATAAGGAATGCTGAAAGCCTCAATTCTTAATGTTTCCATAGGTGAATTTTCTTAAAACTTGAGAGAGAGATGACGTTTATTATGAGCTTTCATTTTATTCTTATCACTCACCATTCTAGTAGACTTAGGTCTTTAAATATTGTCATTTTCAAAATATTGGTTATCACAACGCTTCAAAACATTTCCGTGCTCACGATACTCGAGTTAAGATAATATTTTGATGTTCTTCTGTTTGTATACAATTGGAAATTTTTTTGTATTGATCTTTTCAAACTTCGAGGGTAGGTACCAGCTATAAGGATTTGTGAAGTAATAGAAGGATTTGAAACATGGGTTAAGAGTTAGGGTGGTGGGGGTTTTTAAGTTAGGTACTAGGACCGGGAGATAATACGAGAGAACTTTCGGCCTTCAGTCTGTGAATACTTAAGTACTTGAGTACTTAAACATGTGGAGAAGGGTGATTTCGGGGCCTGAAAAAATAAGCCACACCACTGCCACATAGGATGTTTGACTTAAAAAAGTTGACTTGGCTGCGGCCATAACCTTCAAGATCACGGTCAAGGTCAAATCCATGTTTTCCATTGGTCACTGGAATACATTTTAACAACAGTACCAACGTATTACTTCTTCTGTGTCATTACAAGTTATAATAATAACCGACATCTATCAATACGCCCTAATTGGCGTACTATAGGAGGTCTGGGAGGGGTTTCTTGACCATGAGCTTCAAATGTTTCGAAACACTCAAGTACTACATGAAAGTAGATGTTCCGCTTTGTCCGTTTTCCTGGTGAAAAGTGACCTTGACGGTCACTGTCAAGGACAAATCAAAGATCACTTTCGGCCAGTCTAGGAGAAATCTTAGCAACAGTATGTTTTATTTCTTCTCTAATAATATTATTCTAAGATTAATTAATAATCTCTACTTGGGGGTTTCTGGGTTCCGTAGAGGGTAAAGGAGAGGTGTCAGCAGCTTGGACCCATTGGGACTTTTGATCGCCATGTTGAAAAAACCTCCATACGAAAGTTCAAAAAATATAGGAAAATGCCTGGATCCTTCGGCTGCTACGTTTGTAGCTAGTAAATTGCAACAAATTTGAACAAAATCAGCGAAAAGGCTGTTATAATTTTTAACAGACGGCCAATTTTCGAAAAAGTTTGATCTCGAAAAACTATGAACCTTTCATCATAAAACTATATATATATTAACTCCCTGGATACAAATTAAATTTGGATATAATCAAATTTGACTCTCTACTTACCCTTATGATTGTATCGTTCAACTTCCATAATACTCTGTTCCGTTGGCTTCCGCTATTCAATGAATTCGAGGTATTCTGTGGAAATACAAAAATGTAAGAAGGAATTTTACAGACGTCATTATGTTCAATTATGTCTTTGCAATGAAATCACCGATTTTGGTGGTTGAGGTATGAAGTTTTGTTCGGTTTATAACGGGTGATTTTTTAAGAGGTATAGGATTTGATTTTAAAAAAAAAAAACACAAAAAATTTGAAAAAACGATTAAATCTTTATTTGAGTTGATAGAACGGTCGATATAATTTAATGTTTAAAGATTATTTCATGTAAATGTTGGCCGCGGCTCCGCTTTAGATGGCCCATGCGCAAGGTCCAATTTTGGCACACCCTCTCCAACATATCGGCCGGTATCTCACGAATAAATGCTTCAATATTGGCTTCCAGTGCGTCAATCGTTGCTGGTTCATCCCTGTAGATATTAGCCTTAACATTGCCCCACAAGAAATAGTCCAACGGCGTTAAATCACACGATCTAGGCGGCCAATTGACGGACCCCAAACGTGAGATAAACTGTTCACCGAACTCGCCTCTCAATAGGGCCATTGTTTCGTATGCGGTGTGGCATGTGGCACCGTCTTATTGAAACCACATGTCAGCCAAGTCCAGCTCTTCCATTTTGGGCAAAAAAAGTTTGTTATCATCGCACGGTAGCGCCCGCAGGTCACAGTTACGTTCCAGCCATTGTGGTCTTTGAAGAAGTACGGCCCGATGTTGCCACCGGCCCATAATCCACACCAAACAGTGATTTTTTCGGGATGCATTGGTAGCTCTTGCAATGCTTCTTGCTCGTCTTCACTCCAGATGCGGCAATTTTGCTTGTTAACGTACCCATTCAACCAGAAATGAGCTTCGTCGATGAACACAATTTTTAGATAAAAATGTGGATCTTCCTCCAACTTTGCCAGCGCCCATTCACCAAATTGGAAATGTTGTGGGAGGTCGTGTGGCTTCAATTCTTGCACCAGCTGTATCTTATAAGGTTTTACACCCAAATCCTGTCGCAAAATTTTCCACGTAGTGGAGTAACAGAGGCCCAATTGCTGCGAACGGTGGCGAATCGACATTTCAATTGTCATTACTAACACTGGCGGATACAGCCGCAATATTTTCTTCAGTCCTCACTCTACATCTGCGTGTTGGTGGTTTAATGTCCAATAATGTAAACTGGGTTCGAAATTTAGTCACAAGCTATCGAATAGCTTCCTCAGTAGGCCGACCAAATTGCCCATAAATTGGAAGCAGTACTCGATGCAGTCTCTTAAACGAGCATGAATTTTGATAGTAAAATTCAATAATTTGCAAGCGTTGTTCGTTCGTAAGTCGATTCATGGTTAAATTATAGACCAAACTGAACAAGTTTGACAAAGACACAAGACACGATTCACGCGTCATCTGTCAAAAACAGTGTTGCCAAAAAGATACTAGCAAAAAAATCACCCATTAGTTACAATATTTCTCAAAAGTCATTGTCTTCGGTAGTAAGTTATTAGGAAGAAATAAAAAAAAATCAAACTTGGCACTTATATGTCTATTTTTTGGACCATCAATAAACTGTTCTATCTACTTATTGTGTTTTGAGGCTAAGCGTAAGTTGAGTGGATTTATTTTATTAAAGCGTATGATCCCAGGGTTGCCGGATATTGAATAGACCTTATATATGTTTGAAGGACTGCGTTATTGCTAAGTTGGGTTAGGCTCCGATTTGCTGGTACCGTGAGACATGTTTTTATTTATACCGAAGCAGTCGCGTAGGCACAAGCCTAAATACCAGGGCACCGCGGATGCTATAGGGAACTTAAAGTCACCTTTTATCCGATTTTTGAAATGCCTAAGATTTTGGATATAGGTAGGATGCCGTGCAATGGTTTCCGTCATAGTCTCGCAGAATTCTGTTATTCGATCTGGGTCATTTTCAGTTAGCTGATGCACCATTTGAATTTTGTATGGGTGATACTTATTCTTTTTCAAAGGTCTCCATACATTAGAAGGACAAACCTCACATACATTCGCGATGGAGGAAGTAGACTGTTGGGGATTTACTATGATCTCATCAAGTATTTGAACTTGCGTCGCACCATAAGTAAAAATCGCTTCGATTTTTTCTTCCAATGGGAGAGAATTGACCATTTTAAAAATAGTTCAAACAGTATCTAGCACTAAAACCGAAAACTAGATAAGAATATTTTAAATGTACAATGATGTTTGTTTTCGTAATGATATTCTTGTCACTGTCAACAAAAAATAACAAAACAAGTTTTTATCGATGTTGTTGTGGATACGGCAGCGAATTACAATTATTTGTAGTGATATGCATGTTAGTGGGTTTGTGTTCAAGTAATTATTATATGTACCACCATTTTGTAGTAGGTAAAAGTATTGACTTTATCTTCTACTATTTTCATATGTCAATTTTTTGAATTGATGCGTTCAAAAAATCATAGGGCAGGGGGACATTAAAGAAAAGCACTGTATGAAGACAGTCACCAGAACTTAAGTAAAGTTAGTCTGACTTTTATTTAACCTTTAACTTTTCTCATCTGGTATCAACAAACTGGACCTTAGGAGGCTCTCAAAACATATACATATAAACGCTATTCAACGCATTACGTTTTGTCTTTTAGGAAATAGGCAATGTCTGGCAGCCCTGGGATCTTGGACTGTTAAATTACATGTATTATATTTTGAATTATGCAAAAAAATCTTATCACCTACTTTTGTATATCGGTCATTTGGTTTCCATGTTTTCCCCAGCGGTCTCTCACAGTCCAATACTAATGTGCTATTTGTAACCGCTGTTATATTTTCGTTTCCTGGTGATACTAAAATAATATTTGTTTTATTAAGATAATCCGACTGATATATAAGTATACATACCTACGCTAAATGCTCTTGTTTGGAAATTCACAAGGAGCGATGGTATCAGGATGAAATAATGTATACTGCTGAACATATCTTCGTTTCTGTAACAAAAGAAATTCTCAAAGCTTTGGCACACTTCCATTTGATCGGACAACATATCTGTCGTAATCTACCAGTATACTACTCAATACCCGAACATGCTGAAAACTTGACAACTACGCATTTTTTGGAAAAAACGTTCTAAGAAAAAAATCAATTTATAGATCACGTTAAATGTGACCTAGACAATGACCTCAGAGATCATATGAAGGTCAACTTTGTAATTTGAAATAGCAACCACCGTTTTTGGAAGCAGATTTGTATCGGGATCGATTGTCTACACCAGCATGCATTTTTGTACATGACGTCAAGCGCTCAAAATCAGCATGACCTACTGTGACGTCTGAAGAGTACACCCCAAAAATTTGACAACCATGCATTTTTTTGGAAAGAAGTTTCTCAGTGGGTTTAAGGATATCTCAAAAGAAATTTGTCGGTGATCTCAAATATGGCCTAGCCTAGATAATGTCCTCAGAGGTCATTTGGATGTCAACTTTGTAAATTCAAATAGCAACCACCTTTTCGGCAGCAGATTTGTATCGAGATCGATATTCTACACTAGAATGTATTTTTATAGATGAGGTCAAGCGGTCAAAAGTGGTTCAATCAGTATGACCTACTGTCTCGTCTGAAGAGTACACCCCGAAAATTTGGCAATTATGCATTTCTTTGGAAAATAGTTTCTCAGGACGGTTTTAGGATATTTCAAATGCAAGTTCACGATGACCTCAAATATGGCCTAGACAATCACCTCAGAGGTCATTTGGAGATCAACTTTGTAAATTCAAATAGCAAGCACCGTTTTTGGCAGCAGATTCGTATCGAGATCGAGATTCATGAGAAAATCTGGCAACCATGCATTTTTTTGGAAATCCTTCATTAAAAAAGTTTTGGATATCTCAAAATCAAGTTGTCGGTGACCTCAGATATGACAGAGATCATTTGGAAGTCAAATATTAATTCAAATAGCAACCATGCTGATTGAACCACTGTTGTGGTTGGAGTTGAATCACCAAAAGGAACAATTTGGCCAATCTCTATACTTAGATATGCCAACATGGCCGCTAGCTTTATGCAGGCGACCCATGGCGGCACTCCAACAATCATTTTTCTGATAGTTATTTCCCACTTGAGCAATGTAAATTATCTAAGTGTGCAAAGTTTTTTTGAAAAAAAAATGCGTCAAGTATATTAACGCCTTTGAAATAACCTCTAGAACAATTCATGTAGTGGAATATCACCGAAAAGACGTAAGCTTTGCCAGAACCTTTAGAGCACTACTTGGGCTTTTCCTGTTTGTAAGATTAAATGAATTTTTTTTCGTTTTTGGCATTTTCCTCCGCCGCCACTGGACCGATTTGCAATAACTAAAAAAGGACCAAAAGTAGGTCAGTCGGGAACGCTAGACCCATCATCCTGATAATACGTTGTTTGGGACGCTGAAACCGAACCCGGGGCCCAATAACTTTGGAAATACCCCGTCTATGATCTGGATCTACAAAACGATCAATAAACAAATTCTTGCGCGTCTGGAAGCTTGCTTCCTAGGTCAATCGGACGCCCAGATTCCGAATTGGTTTTCAATCTTGTGCTAGGAAGGATTCAGGGGAGGCCCCGGGTAACTATTTTTTTACCAATTTTTCACCCCTAATTCGGCACCATGACGGGTCTAGGTTTTTCCAAGATGATATTCATATTTAGTGCCCTGAATTACCTGCATATGAAATGATTTGTAGCATACTAAAGACGCAAATATTGTATAGTTTTGCAATTTTTCAAATAATAGAGTATACAGGGTGTAAAGTTAGTAGTGGATCAACGGAAGTCAGGTGATAGAAGGCCTCATAAGCTATCAAATGAATCCCTATATGTGTTGTCCGAAATTTGATGTCGAAAAAAAAACGGGATAATGAATCAATCGTAATTACAGCTAAACCTAGGTTTAGGGCTGTGATTTTTATCTGAGATGAGCTAAATGGTTAGTTTTAGTAGTGGTTATGTCACTTTTTAACAGAGCTTATTAGAAATCAACGCAAAAAATCATAAATTCTTTTTTTTTGTAAAAAATCTCTCTCATGCCTCATCTTTGGAAAATAATTTAACTCTTAAATAACATCTTCGAAATCGCCTCTGTTATTTTCTATACACAAGCGACAAATTCTAATAAAATTTTTCTTTAGTCTTTGAAATCAATTTGCGTTTTCCATAATTTTTATTTTTGCTTCATCAATTTTCTGGTTGACATTTGTATATTCAGATGTATAGATTATCCCCTTATAAGACCCCCATATAAAAAATCTAGAGGATTTAAATCGGGTGACCTTGGAGGCCAACGTATGTGTCCACCTCTACCTATCAAATGGCCAGGAAAGGCACTGTCTAAGTAATGCCATACATCCTGTGCAAAGTGGCATGGGGCACCATCGCACTGAAAATGCATGCAGCTTCGAACGTCCAAAGGTACATCCTCTAGAAGCTCATGCAAACTGCTTTGTAGAAAAGCAAGGTATAACTGACCATTCAACCTGGCGGGCAATTCATACGGTCCAATTAATTTTTTGTTGAGTACTACAGGCCATAAATTAACGCCCAACTGACGTTGAAAGCTGTATCGGCGAATAGCGTGTGGATTTTCCACGCTCTATGAATAGAAATTGTGCATGTTGTATATTCCATTTCGGTTAAAGCTGGATTTATACTGTCGAAAAAGTTTCATCCTCTTCGCACCTTCTCAACATATTCTCACTTAATTCAACCCGTTGTGCATAGTATTGTGTGCAGTGTATGGGATATGTTGCTGCTTCGGGCAATGGCTCTGGTGATTATAAAGGGAACTCTGTCGGCTGTTTCTATTACATCTTCTATTTCTTCTGGGCGTATCCTCGGTGCTCCTATACTACAACTATTTAAAACTGTAATGACTCATACGCGTGATCAACACGTGATCAGAGCTCGATCCCGGCTTCCTTCCAGTACAGCCGTATAGCGGTGGTACGACATATGTCGTTTCTGTGGCTTTGCGGTGGTCAACAGCACAGACAGAGATGGAAATAATGGCTGATTGTTCCCCGCCGGTAGAACCAATGAAATCAAAGACGCGTCTCGACCGGCAGACTCATAGGCGTCCGCAACGCGTTGGAACGTGTTTCGTTGAGAGATCGCATATTGTGTGTTTTTATAAGTATTGTTGTGTGATTGTTATTGTTGTGGTTTCTGTGGTTACTGTTTTGGTTATACTTAACCATGGAGAGTACAAATGGCACTAGTGGAAGTACTGAAAGCCAGGGAGCAAGTAGACGGCTTCGTAAAGCACTGAAGAGGGACGCGAAAGAAATCGTGCTCAACGTGTTCAATTATCTGAACAGAACTATGTCGCAGGGAGATGCACTCGCGCGTTGTGAAAGTATGACAGGCGTTCCAGAGTGGACCATTCGCAGGGTGGTGCATGAAAAGAAGAAAACTGGAGCTACTACTGATCCAAAGTTTAATTTGAAGGGACGAAAGGCCGTTAAATTGGATGACGATAGCAAAATGGCGTTAAGGCGAACCGTACATTCATTCTTCTTTAGGAATGAGATACCAACCCTCAAGGCTGTACATGCAGCGATCAAGGAAAATGAAATTATACCCCAAATGAGCGTCGAGGTAATGAGGAAATCCCTGCACGAAATTATTTTTCGTTACGAAACGCGTAATCGGAAGTGAGTATTGATAGAGAGACCTGAAATAGTCGTCTGGCGTCGAAAATACCTACGCGAAATGATTGAATATAGGCGACAAAGCAGAAAAATCTATTATTTGGACGAGACATGGGTAAATGCAGGTCACACAGTTAAAAAAACCTGGATAGACAAAAACGTAGTGAGTAACCGACAAGCAAGCATTGAAGGTTTGTCAACAGGTCCTCGTGGACCGTCAGGGAAAGGTCAAAGATTGATCGTAACTCATATTGGTAGCGATAGTGGCTTTTTAGAAGAGTGTGACTTGATTTTCGTCTCTAAGAAAGGAGGTGATTACCATGACGAAATGAATGCCAGCTGCTTCGAGAGCTGGTTTCAAGGGGTGCTTCAGCGAGTTGAGCCCAACTCTGTGATCGTCATGGATAATGCTTCCTACCATAGTCGTCCGAAGTTTGGCAGAATGCTATCCGTCATGTTGTGAAGGAAGAAACAAAAATGTGGCAGCTTGACCACCACATCGACACCATCATAGAGCCAGTTATAGTCAATTTCAACGAGGAAAGCGATAGCGACAGTTTATTACTGTCAGATGTAAGTGGAAGCGACGATGAATAAAGGTAATTCCCAAATTTTTGACTTACAATATGTTTCAAACCACTCCTTATTAAGCATGTGACACATCTAGTTCACCCATGTTAAACATTCATACCCCGCCTATGAACAGCCGACTACTGGTAGTTAAGTGATGTTCACGTGAACATCGATGAGTCATTACAGTTTTAGATAGTTATAGTATAGCTGACGATGAGTGCCTAGTGTGCGGCCCTCCATATACGCACCTCTTCTAATCACATACTCCCGATACATGCGAGCAGCTGCTCGAGCAAGTCGTTAAAAAGTAACATAAACATTGCTAAAACTAACCGTTCAGCTCATCTAAAAAAAAATCACAGACCTAAACCTAATGGTTTAGTTGTAATTGCGATGGAAAGTTCATTATCCCGTTTTTTTCGAAATTTCAGAAAATTGCAAGTATCTCCTGAACTATAAAATTTCGGACCACAAATACAGGGATTCATTCGATATGTTTTGAGACCCTCTATCACCTGACTTCCGTCGATCCACTACTAACTTTACACCCTGTACATACATGTACACGTGAAACCAATTCGGATTCTGTCTTAACGACCCAAAATACAGTTTATTTGAATCGCATTTGAATCATTAGTAACCATGTATATGTTACAAAAAGAGATGACGATACTCAATTGCCAGAGTGGCATGGGAAGTAAAATTAGCGTCACCACAAAAACTTTGGTTTC